AAAAATAGCTCAATTTTTCTAACTTAAAAAGTGTTAATTCTTACAATTTCCTCAATTGTTTTTATTTATTTTTAAGATGAACACAAAGATATCTCATTTTTTGAATCAATAATGTGGATATAGATTTGCAGGTTTTCACTCAGACAATGGCATTTGAGAATTAACCGTTGGAAAGCGGAAATACCACTTTAAAAATAGAAAGTCTTTTAAAAGTATGTTTACAAATGTATTTGATATTTATTTAGGAATATCTTTCCTCACCGTATTAGTTTTCTATCTACCCTCGGACTCAGGAGAAAAGGTTTGTGTCAAATTGTGTGTTTAATTTTAAATTCACTTTTTATGAACTTGTTAGAGGCTAAATAAAATTCGAAATAAAAAAAAAAAAAAAAAAAAAATTTCCACTGGCAACCAACCGGCCAAATGGCTGGACCGATTGGGCTGAAATTTTTTGTGGATACTCATGGGTGGTGTTATAGGCAAAAAAATCGACATTGTAATTCAAATTTTTTTTCTCTTTTTTTAAAAATTGTTTTCCACGGGCAACCCCGGGCCCTTCAGCTAGTTCTTAAACAAACACTTGAACAACAGTGAAAAGCATGTTAATATCCAATCTTTAAAACTAAAGAAATTATCCACATCTTCTTTTTCCTTTTCTTACAATCCCTTATGCATTACGAGGAATAGATAATATCTATCTGTTATTTATTCTATTTTTTCTACTTTATAATATTAAATGTTTTAGATTTATTTGAAAATAGAATTTGATTGCGATTAGATATTGAGCAATTGTAAACATGTAAATTAATATTTTGAATTTGAAAAAAACAGGTTTATTTTTACTTTTAAATTGAGTGATTGAAAAATATAATGAACATGATAATGTTGGTCAAAATATATGATTTAAATTATCTAAATCAAATTCATTTTCAAAGCTGTTACCCGTAATTTCATTTTTACTATAATAATAACAGTTTTAATTGTTTATAAACAGATGCTTTGTTTACAAACTGATGCTTTGTTTACAAACTGATGCTTTGTTTACCAACTAATCCTTTGTTTATAAACTGATGCTTTGTTTACAAATTGATGCTTTGTTTACAAACTGATGCTTTGTTTACCAACTAATCCTTTGATTCTAAACTGATGCTTTGTTTACAAACTGATGCTTTGTTTACAAACTGATGCTTTGTTTACCAACTAATCCTTTGTTTATAAACTGATGCTTTGTTTACAAACTGATGCTTTGCTTACAAACTGATGCTTTGTTTACCAACTAATCCTTTGTTTACAAACTGATGTTTTGTTTAAAAACTGATGCTTTGTTTACAAACGGATACTTTTGTTTACAAACTGATGCTTTGTTTACGAACTGATGCTTTGTTTACCAACTAATCCTTTGTTTACAAACTGATGCTTTGTTTACAAACTGATGCTTTGTTTACAAAAGGATGCTTTGTTTACAAACTGATGCTTTGTTTACAAACTGATGCTTTGTTTACAAACTGATGCTTTGTTAACAAACAATGCATTTGTTTACAAACTGATGCTTTGTTTACAAGCTAATGCTCTTTTTTACAAACTGATGCTTTGTTTACAAACAGATGCTTGGTTTACAAACTGATGCGTTGTTTACAAATAGATGCTTTGTTTACAAACTGATGTTTTGTTTACAAACTGATGCTTTGTTTACAAACTGATGCTTTGTTAACAAAAAGATGCTTTGTTTAAAAATGATCCTTTGTTTACAAACAGATGCTTTGTTTACAAACTGATGCATTGTTTACAAACAGATGCTTGGTTTACAAACTGATGCGTTGTTTACAAACAGATGCTTTGTTTACAAACTGATGCTTTGTTTACAAACTGATGCTTTGTTTACAAACTGATGCGTTGTTTACAAACTGATTCTTTGTTTAAAAACTGATCCTTTATTTACAAACTGATGCTTTGTTTAAAAACTGATGTTTTATTTACAAACTGATGCTTTGTTTACAAACAGATGCTTTGTTTACAAACTAATGCTTTGTTTATAAACCGATGATTTGTTTACAAACTGATGCTTTGCTTACAAACTGATGCTTTGTTTAAAAACTGATCCTTTATTTACAAACAGATGCTTTGTTTATAAACTGATGCTTTGTTTATAAACCGATGATTTGTTTACAAACTGATGCTTTGTTTAAAAAATGATCCTTTGTTTACAAACAGATGCTTTGTTTACAAACTGATGCTTTGTTTACAAACAGATGCTTGGTTTACAAACTGATGCGTTGTTTACAAACAGATGCTTTGTTTAATAACTGATGCTTTGTTTACAAACTGATGCTTTGTTTAAAAACTGATGTTTTGTTTACAAACTGATGCTTTGTTTACAAACAGATGCTTTGTTTACAAACTGATGCTTTGTTTATAAACCGATGATTTGTTTACAAACTAATCCTTTGTTTATAAACCGATGCTTTGTTTACAAACTAATCCTTTGTTATAACCGATGATTTGTTTACAAACTAATGCTTTGTTTACAAACTGATGTTTTGTTCACAACTAATGCTTTGTTTACAAACTGGTGTTTTGTTCACAAAATAATGCTTTGTTTACAAACTGATGCTTTGTTTACAAACTGATGCTTTGTTTACAAACAGATGCTTGGTTTACCAACTAATCCTTTGTTTATAGACCGATAATTTGTTCACAAACTTATCCTTTGTTTAAAAACTGCATATTTGTTTACAAAATAATGTTTTGTTTACATACTAATGTTTTGTTTATAAACTGATCTTTTTTTTACAAACTGATTCCTTTTTTACAAACAGATGTTTTGTTTACAAACGGATGCTTTGTTTACAAAGTTCATCTTTGTTTACTAACCGATGATTTGTTTAGAAACTGATCCTGTCTTTACAAAATGATTCTTTGTTTATAAACTGATTCTTTGTTTACAAACTGATTGATTGTTTTCAAACTGTTATTTGTTTAAAAAACTAGTCTAAAATTTTCCTTTAACCCTCTGATAGACCCAGGGTCGGGACGGGCAACTTTTTTTAATTAAAGGGTTTGAACTTCTCCGTAACAATGCCCAAAAATCAAAGCGAAAAAATCTTGTTCAACCAGAAAGAGAAATTGGAAATCGTTTTTAAACCTTTTTAAAACAAAAAATTTAGTTTAATAAACAAAAAACGATTTTTTCTTTTTTCTCTAAAACCAAAATAGTTTTTAAAAATGATTGCCCATCCCTTGATAGACTCCCTGCATATTGAACATATAAAACATGTCCAACCACAACTAACCATACCATCTACGACTAACCATGGTTAACCCTGTAATGCAAAGAGAATAGAATACATATTAGAGTGGAATTTAGACAATCTCTCGGTATGAATCTTGTCAGTCCCTTTCAGCCTGAAAGGGAGTTCAAAGTGTACAAATCATGTAAATGTTCACAAATTATATGCAGTAGAGTACATTAATACAGTATGTTCCCTAGACTATTCATTTCAATTTCGAATTTTTTAAACTGTTAAATAAACCTTATAAAATGAATTATGTGAATAAAAACATCATTTGATTTATAGTTATAATGGAAAATCATCGTTTGCGCAAAGTCAAAGGCATGAGAGTCTATGTGAAATGATCATTGGTCAATTATGAAACCACCCTATTTCATAATTTGGTTTTCTTTTTATGTTAATTTTAGATTTTCTATAAAATGATGTTCCTTGGCCGAAAAGGTTATATTGCACAAATATGTGAAGTACACCTGCAGTATGGTAACATTACAACAAAATGGCAGTTTTAAACTTTTTTCTAATAAATTCCACTCTAATATATATTCTATTCTCTATGCCTGTATGTATGTGATTAACCCAAAGGTAACCCTGTGTATATCTATCCTGTTATCCTTGACAGTGTTCTTCCTTCTACTAGCTGAGATAATCCCACCAACTTCACTAGCAGTTCCTCTTCTAGGTACAGACCTCAGAATATGTATAATATAGAATGTTATTCTATATTGTATACACGTTCTGAGGTAGACAACCACAATTTGGAAAAACCCTAATATTTGCCTCGTAATATCAAACTTAACAAAAGCATTCTGTAATTTTGAACATTTCGTTCAAAATTACAAACAATTCCTTCAAAATTACAAACAAGTCGTTCAAAATTACAAACAATTCATTCAAAATTTTAAAAAACTCGTTCAAAATTACAAACAATTCATTCAGAATTACAAAATATTTCTTCAAAATTACAAACAATTGTTTCAAAAATAAAAAAAAACAATTCGCTCAAAATTACAAATAATTCCTTCAAAACTGCAAACATTCTGTTAGAAATCACGAACATACTGTTCGAAATTACGAATCATTGGTTCAAAATTACAATTATTCTGTTAGAAATTACAAATACTTTGTTGTAAATTTGTATAATTTTGTTCTAACTAAAGAACAAAATATTCGGGATATCAACATTTGAAAGATATTGTTTAAATTTCAAATGAAATAGTTTCAATTTCGAAATGCGATTCGGTAGTCGAGATATTATGAGAAATATTAGGTTTTTTTTCTTCTAAGAGTCTACACAACAGCTAGCATGCAATTGCATATTTGGCTTAAAGGAGTGTGATAATGAAATATTGAATTTTCTATATATTTCTATATATATGTTTGAGATGATTAAAAAATTCTAAATAGCTTAAACCGTCAGCATTTTCCGGGCGAATTGAAAGGAATACTCTGTTAATTTTCGTCATGTTCTTTATGCTGAAATTTGTTTAATGAAAACGAGATTATTCTGCTTTCTGTTTCACTGCATGATCATGTCAAGAAGGATTGCTGTGATAGATCAAGTAATTAGTTATTTGTTGCCTATAGCCGGCTAAACGGCTGGACCGATTGGGCTGAAATTTATCGTGGACACTCAGTGGTGGCCGAGGAGTGTTATAGTCTATAAAAAATTCGAATTTTTTAAAACATTTTTTTCACGGGCAACGTTGGGGCCTTTAGCTAGTTATTAATATTTTTTGTTTCCTCTATAAGCTGAACCCTAATATTTAATAATGAACGTGAACGTATAGAAAGCACAATTATTTAGTTCGAAATAACGAAAACAATAATAACAAAAACATAAAATAATTTGGGATAAATTTTTATTAGTGTTAATTTGCTTTCGGCTGTTCCATATTCCTGTGTAGAGATGGGCACGTTCGAATTTTTCATTTCGTTCTTTTTTTTCATTCAAAAAAATATTGTTTATTTTCCATCTATTTCGTTCGTTTTCTCACCGAACGATCGTTCAGTAAAGGCGTTCGTTCAATAAATAACTCATTCAGTAACAAAAAGATTCGTTCGTACAGTAAACACTGATCTTTTTTCACGATTTCAAATCGTTATTTTTTTCGTTCACTTTAAAAAAAACCTATAAGTTTTTATTTCTCTGAACAATCCATTTCATTTGTCATCGTTCGTCTTTTTTTTCTGAACGACACCCTTTATCCGTGAAAAAATTTGTTCGTTGAAAACGATGCCCATCTCTAAATTTTACCAGAGATGGGCATTGTTACCATTGTTACCAGAAAATGTTACCAGGTTTAATGTAGATATACAGTATAACAGTATGTACGCTGCATGTTAGTATTCACCGTACAGTGTTGTCCACAAAGGATTACACTGTAAAGACGACATAAAACTCAAAAATATGACCATTTGAAGCTTGCTTTTTGGGTTCTGCTTAAGTATTTTGATGGTTTACGAAATGTTAAAGCACAGTAATAATACAGTGTTGGCCGACAAGGAACCCTGAATGCAATTAAACGGACTTAATGAATTCCGTACAATCGTTCTAAAGTCTCAACCTTTGAGTTAATCCGGTACTTCAAAAACTTGCATTTGGTATCATAGATTGTAAAACTTGCAATTGAGAAAAATTGGTGTAATGTTTTTTTAATGGTTAATTAATGGTAATCTTTAAAAATCAAAGTTTTCTCTCTGAAAAATGGAAGAAAAATAAATGAAGTCTATTATCCGTGGCAACGTTAAATTAATTTTTATGTTAAACTGAACTTTAGGAGCTTTTGCTTTTATTCAAATAAGTTGATTGCATGCCTAAATCAATAATTTTCAGTGTTAATAGAAAGTTTTTATTTTCAGAGTCTCCTTTAACCCTATTCCTGCTGGGGGGGGGGTTTTTTTTTTACAAAAATCTCCATTTTTTAGTTATGAAAATACCAATTCAGAAGTTGTTAATGGATAATGTGAAACAAGTTCTGAAATAAAATTTCAAAAACCTTGTCTGTAAAATATTCATGGGATTCTTCAAAATTTAGTCAAAGCTCACTGTTAGAAAGAAAATTTAGGAATTTTAAAAGGAATTGAGAGTGTGCCACAAACTCTGACTTTCTAATCCCAATATCTTGTCAACCCGATATCATAGACCTTTAATATTCCAAACTATAAATTCTGCTAAATCATATATTTTAGGTTTGAAATCTCAAAGGTTTATAGAGATATAGAGATTAGAAAATTTAATTTTGCGGTAAAAATTCAATTCCTTTCTGAAATATTTTCTGCATTCTGTTCAAAATAGTCAACCAATTTTCCAAAATTTGATCTCAATTTGAGCTCAATATTAGGGTTTTTTAGCTGTGAGTAAATTTTAATTTTCAACTTTTTTCTATTCCTTGAATAATTCTTCATTGATTGATTTGGACACAAATTCATGCCTTTAATTCCCAACAATCAATAAACATTTGATAGATATTTATTTTTTAGGAAAATATCTGGTTTTTACCATGATGTTGGTAACATTATCAATCTGTGTTACTGTCACCATTCTCAACATTCACTTCAGGTTACCAAACATTATTCAAATATTCACGTCAGGTTACCCACATTATTCAAATATTCACTTCAGGTTACCCAATATTATTCAAATATACTTCAGGTTACCCAACATTATTCTCATATTCACTTCAGGTTACCCAATATTATTCAAATATTCACTTCAGGTTACCCAACATTATTCTTATATTTACTTCAGGGTACCCGACATTATTCAAATATTCATCTCAGGTTACCCAACATTATTCAAAAATTCACGTCAGGTTAGCCAATATTATTCAAATATTCACTGCAGGTTACCCAACATTATTCAAAAATTCACTTCAGGTTACCCAACATTATTCAAATATTCATTTCAGGTTACCCCACGTTATTCAAATATTCACTTCAGGTTACCCAATATTATTCAAATATTCACTTCAGGTTACCCAACATTATTCAAATATTCATTTCAGGTTACCCACATTATTCTTTTATTCACTTCAGGTTACCCAACATTATTCATATATTCACTTCAGGTTACCCAATATTATTCACACTCTAATTATTAATCAGAGTGTGAATAATATTGGGTAACCTGAAGTGAATAAGTAATTATTTCTTTTTCTGAGGAGCAATAAGGAAGTTTTTTAAACAAAAAGTGTCGATTTTTTAAATTTTGAATCTGTGTCTGTGTGCTTCATTATTTCTTTGGAGAAACAGTTGGGGGCACTATAATATTTTTACATATAAAACAATCATATCTTTAGAATGTTTGATCCTGTTGATTTGGGATTTTTGACCCCAAAAGTTAAAGAGGATGGAGGGGCATATCTTTACATGTGAAGCGCTATTTTTAATTCAAAGCTTGATTTTATTATTGTTATTTTAGGACCCCAGCTACCCATAATATGCCAGGGTGGATGAAGCAAATCTTCTTGAAGTTTCTACCAAGGATTCTCATGATGAGGAACAGTCTTCACACATTTTTTTCAAATAGAAAAATTTTAAGTGTAACGAAAAAATGCATCCTCAGAAAATTGGTGAAAACTATTTAGAAAATATAAAATATTTTTGTATGGCTCTCACATTAAAGTACAAACTATTTTGAATGTTTTTATATATCTAGCATCAGCCTCCTAAGAATAAATGCCTTAAATGTATCTGCATATTTATTGGCAAATCTCTTTTAAAAAAATTTCATCTATTTCTACTTTTGCTCATGGCAAATTAGAACTATTTAAAAGGACATTTCTTGGTCCTTATAAAGATTTATCAATATTTAAATATTCAAAAAGTTTTAATCGTTTTTTTGTCCTTTAGGGCCATTTCCGGGGTCCCAATGGTTGACATTTAATATTTTACGTTTAGTTGGAACTTGTCTTATGTAAATTATGTAAATTACTGTTTTTAACAACTTTTCTGTTTATTCTTACCCTTAATTGATCTCGACCTAAATATGTGTTTTTGTTGAATCTAGACGCCCAGTTTATAATCCGCAATATTCAGCTGACTATCCAGACTTCTCACCTAAAAAGCGGAAACCGTCCCCACCCGATCAAAATTCCAAGGTATTAATATTTGATTATAAAATAAAGAAACTAGCGTCGTCATTCTTAGTAACCCTTCATGTTAAGAATCACATACCAGATCCAAAACGATAACCTTGCTGTGAAAGAGATTATGAAGAAGATAAAAAAATAAAAACTAGGACATGTCGACATCCTATTTATCCGAAAGAAGTGGGTTACCAACTTACCGTACAGTTGTAAATCGGGGAAAAATTTCGTTCGGGAAGAAATTTTTGTAATTAAGGACTATTCGAAATTAAATCGACGTTTTCTCTAAACAAACATCAATTATCATTGACTATACCACTCTGAAAAAGACAGAAAGTGACTGTTAATTACGTGCGAAATTACTGGTTAGACGTTGTAACCTCGTAACAACTCTAGTTTTGATGGTGTACCTCTGAAAACGCTACACTCATAAAACGCTACCAGATTAAATGCTACTGGATAAAATGCTAGTAAAGATAAACACTACTTTTTTCATTTTCATATTTGCATTTTTATATTGATATTTTCTTTACACTTTTTTTCTTGATTTTGACATCTGTGCACTGCAACCAAAGCATTGTCGGACACAATATTCAACTCATCTTCTAAAACACTCACTAATGTACTAATGTACTAATGTACTAATGTACTAATGTACTAATGTGTATGGGTTTGGATGTTTGAACACTTTTACTGCCCATTGCATAATTGTAACCTTTTGCTTGAATATTTGTTAACTTTGACGTCACATATTAGCAAGGTACTAATGCAATGAAAGTCAATTGCGGTCGCGTATAGTCTGCGTACATATTGAAACCAGTTCTTTCTGGGCAGAATTTGTAAACAAGAATAGATGCATCAGTGTTCGTTTAGTATCCGAGAAGGTTAAAAGCATTTAATTTTGATAATTTTGAAAATTCACATAATTATGACCAGAATATTTCATACGTTATTTTTGTGAAAATGGATTCCATGTCAGGCTGTAACCTCCGTCTTGTGTTTACTTTTCCGCCCAAAGACAGTACACTGCAGTACAAAAAATGCGTACACTTCTGAAATAACTTTCCTTTCATTAGTACCTTGCATATTACTATCTGCAAGTGACATATTATAAATTTCAAACATGTTTGTTTTTCTCGATAGCTTGACGCGATATGCCAAAATACATTTATGTTTTACAGTCTGTTCAAGTTGGAAACCATTTTGGATATAGGGGACTCAAGCATGAAGCGGACAAAAAATCATTAGAAACACAGGTAAATTTTGTGCATCAAAACTACAAGCTGCGGCGACTCTATTATAGTGCAGTGAAGATCTTTAAAAGAAAAAGTGATTCACATTTCAACGACATTGCTATCCAAAAGGATTAGAATTCAATGGAAACCTAAAACTAACAAAACTATTTGGGATCATATTTTATTTTGAGCTAGACAATATTGAACCAAGTAGACGTGCAGTTCAACCACTTCTTTTTAGCTTGAATAAGACAAGTGGTTAAACAACGTCTGCGTGGTTCTGTTACTTCGTTTTTTTAGGAATTGAGTCTTTGCCACAAACCCGGATTTTCTAATCCTTAAATCTTTATAATTCTGCAAAATCAAGATTGAAATATCAAAGGTTTACAGGTTGCAAGCAATGATATAGGGATTAGCAAATTTGAGTTTGTAGCAATGCTTAATTCCTTTCTGCTTTCTTATAACATTAAAGTTTTGTCCCAAAAACGCTAGGATTTGATAAGAAAAGTTAAAAACAAAATTTATGCTAGGAGTCGATTGCGTTCATATCTGGTTGTGGTTTCGAGTATAAAGAAGGAAAAAAACTGGCGGATATTAAGGTAGTAAATACTGAGGTCACATTATCCAAGAAGATATTTTTAAGCAGAATTATTGAAAAGACGACATTTCGTTTCTGCAATACTAGAACTTAAATTAGTTGATAATATTTATTGCCATTATTTATGTCGAAAAATCATAAAACTGAGAAAGAAGAAATATAAAAGATAATTGGTACGGAAATTTTAAATTTACTTTATGGAAAGTATTCCTGAATCTAAATGTCGTCTTTTCTATTGCAACATTAGATATAACTTTGGGAAGTAAATAGTTTTGTAGTTTAGTTATTGTTTATGCACTGCATTCCTCTAAACTATAAAGGAAATGAATATTTGCCACAAACCCTGGGTTCATAATCCCTTTATCTTTGCAACCCAGTGTCTGAGACCTTAGATATTTTAAACTATTTTTTTCTGTTAAATCAAATAATCTAAGTTTGAAATACCCAAGGTTGCAAAATATACAGGCGCGCAACTAGACATTTGGTTAGGGGGGGGCTAGGGGGAAATATTTCGCGCGAAGCGCGAAAATTTTTTTGGCCCCCCCCTTAACATTTTTAGGGGGGGGGGGCAAGAAAAATGTGTGTTATACTTAAACAATAAAAAACTAACCTTACAAACCTGATATTCAGTAAGTCAACACATCTGATATGAATTAAAAGAAGAAATTTATTCTGGTCAGGGGCGGATACAGGGGGGGAGGCGGGGAAAATTGGCCCCCCCCCCTGAATTTGGAATTTTTTGTTCCTATTTTCAGAATAGCTACTCAATAGCATGCTTAATTGGGAAAGAAACCCTAGTGCAAAACAGGAAAAATATCTGTCTTGATAAACTATAATGTGTGAAATAGGGATTAGAAAATTTGAGTTTGTAAAAAAAAGACTTTCAATTTCTTTGTTAATTGTTTGCTAAACTTAAAATATTTAAATATTTGCATATTTAAATGGAATGCATATAATAGATATAGTCAAATTAAATAGGCCTAGTGTTATGTTTATTTGTTTGACGACGACTTTCTATTTTTATTTTGATTTAAATCAATCTGTTAAGCAGAATGGATACACATAAACATTGAAGTCAAGAGAAGCTGGCAATTTAGAAAAGCTTCTCTTTGATTACTTGTAAACTTGTAATTCGAGAAAAGCTTGATATTCTTCCCTCTATCCCCTTTTAAATGGATTTTCTCTGTTTGTTTGCGTATTTTGCTCGAAGACGACTACTGGTAATATTTTGGATTCAGTTTATACAATAGGTGTCAACAGAGAAATGGACCAATTATACACGACGTCACAATTGTGTCAAATACAACAAGAAAAAAGAAATTTTCTCACATTAGTTGACATGTTTTCCAAGATTAGATAAAAAAACTGTAAAAACAGAAAATAAAGATCACACAATTGCAATTATTTAACTGTACGCTAAGCACTTTATTCTAAAATTGTCACTATTATTAATAATTTTGTCTGACACAAAAACTAAGTTGACACTTATAACGTCAGAATACAGCTGTACTGAGAGTGTACAAATTCTACGTTGCCATCTGTTTGGTTTTGACAATAAATTAACAGTTTTAAATATAAAACATCTGAGGCCGAATTTAAAGAATTTGAGTTTGAGCCGGCTAAAACATGGCTGGTTCCACTGTATTCATTGTATTCAGTGTTTCGAGATTTAAGCAGGCGCTCAAGAAACCGGGTTTTGCGGTTTAGCGACGCGGTTTAAATCTTTTGAATTCGGCCTCAGATTATGAAGTTATGAAGATTAAAAAAGAGTGCTGAGAGTAATTACGGTACAAATTAAGATCTTAAGTCAGAACTCATCCAACCTTTCAAAATCCCCATTTCAAGGTATGTTACCAAGAGCCCAGGCTTGGTAGTGCACAGCAATGCATGTGCAGGAAGTATGAGAGACCCCAATGTAGGAATTACAAGCATGACATTTTCAAATATCATTTGTACCAGGAAGGGTTTGCATTCTTTGGAATCTTGCCAATAGGAAAATTATTTTCTGAGGTCAAAACTTTTGAGTTGTTAATCCATGATCAAATAGTTATCTGGGTATCCAGCGAAGTCCTATAAAACATTTTTTGTTGCATCGAAAGGAGAAATTCCTAATATTATGTTCATAATATTGAACAAACATTTGTATGTTTGAAAGCTTTCGGTCGTTCGTTATTACGATCAAAATGTTTATTTTAATAGTGAATTTAGAACCAAAACTATTTTAATAGTGAATTTAGAACCAAAACTATTGAATTCTAAAAAATGCAAACCTTAATCAGGCCTGTGAACTCATAACAGGTGATAAAGTAAGTAGAATAATTAGATCAATTAGATAGTTTAATAAGTAGAGCATATTTATGACTTGATGGACTTTAAAGTGTCGCAAAACCTTGCCCTTTTGTTTATCCAAAGACTCTCATATATCAGAGAGTCTTTGCGTTTATCCAACTTTTTAACTGCTAAAAAAGCGATTTACTGTTCTTTCTTTGGTGGCCAAATAAGCGATTTACTGTCCCTTCATTGGTGGCCAAATAAGCGATTTACTGTCACTTCATTTGTGACCAAATAAGCTATTTACTGTCCCTTCATTGGTGACCAAATAAGCGATTTACTGTCCCTTCATTGGTGGTCAAAACAGCGATTTACTGTCCCTTCATTGGTGACCAAATAACCGATTTACTGTTCTTTCATTGGTGGCCAAATAACTGATTTACTGTCCTTTCATTGGTGACCAAAAAAGCGATTTACTGTCCCTTCATTGGTGGCCAAATTAGCGATTTTTTTGTTTCGTAATTTAGAGTGTAGCACGAAACCCAACATTTTGTTTTGTTATATTCAAATAAAGAAACCATTTCCAAATTTCGAATTTGTGGTTTGTTTGAGATTCTGTTTGTAGGTTTGACAAAAATATTTGTAATTTTGACGTAAATATTCCAAATTTGGACGTAAATGTTCGTAATTAGGATGTAAATGTTCGTAATTTGAACATAAATGTTCGTAATTTGAACAAAAATGTTCGTAATTTGGACGTAAATGTTCATAATTTGGACGTAAATGTTCGTAATTTGGAAATGTTCATAATTTGGACGTAAATGTTCGTAATTTGGACGTAAATGTTCGTAATTTGGACGTAAATGTTCATAATTTGGACGTAAATGTTCGTAATTTGGCCGTAAATGTTCATAATTTGGACGTAAATGTTTATAATTTGGACGTAAATGTTCGTAATTTGGACGTAAATGTTCATAATTTGGACGTAAATGTTCGTAATTTGGACGTACATGTTCATAATTTGGACGTAAATGTCGTAATTTGGCCGTAAATGTTCATAATTAGGACGTAAATGTTTATAATTTGGACGTAAATGTTTATAATTTGGACGTAAATGTTCATAATTTGGACGTAAATGTTCGTCATTTGGTCATTAATGTTTGAGGTTTCAAAATGCTTTTGGTGTGATGGTTATGAACAAAATTTTCAGTATTCTGCTATATTATAGTATTATATATATATATAATAGTGAAAGTTAGACCGTATTTCAATTCAATATCTTGAATAAAAGTGTGTTTACTGTTTAGTATGAGTCTGGTTTTCATGAAGACAGTTTTGATTCCAACTCAAGCAACTCCTCTATTCATCATTTTAGGTAAACACAGTTTCATTAAATAGATTTTAGGTTCTTGGGTCAAATTAATTATTATTATATTCTAGTCCTGATCTACAGTAATTCAAGGAGTCCAGTTTATTAATATTATATTCTAGTCCTGTCTATAGTAATTCAAGGAGTCCAGTTTATTAATATTATGTTCTAGTTCTAATCAAGTAATTCAAGGAGTCCAGTTTATTAATATTATGTTCTAGTCCTGATCAAGTAATTCAAGGAGTCCAGTTTATTAATATTATAACTAGTCCTGATCTAGTAATTCAAGGACTAAGGAGTCCAGTTCATAAAAATTATACTCTAGTCCAGTCTATTCATTCAAGGAGTCCAGTCATTATTTTATGTTCTAGTCCTGTCTATTTATTTAATGAGCCCGGTTTATTAATATTACATTGTAGTCCTGTCTATTTAGTCAAGGAGTCCAGTTCATAAAAGTTCTATTAATTCATGGATTATTTTATTCTAGTCCTGATGAAGATCTTGCAATTCAAGGAGTCCAGCTCATTAATATAATATTCTAGTCCTGCTATAGATCTTGCAATTCAAGGAGTCCAGTTTATTAATAATATCATATTCTAGTCCTGATCTAGTAATTCAAGGAGTCCAGTTCATTAATATCATATTCTAGTCCTGATGTAGATCTTGCAATTCAAGGAGTCCAGTTTATAGCTCATCATATCAGAAAGACAGATAAAGATAGAGAGGTATATTTTTACATCATTGTAGTGCAAAGCAGAGACAATCCCATTGCTATCTCATTGTAGATCCCCATATTTACACGAAGCTTTTCAACGAAGACCTCCAGATTTTCATTTGGAGACCCCCAGATTTTCATTGGAGGCCCAAGATTTTTATTTAAAGACCCACAGATTTTCATTGGAGACCCCAGATTTTCATTAGAAATCCCCAGATTTTCATTGAAAGATTTGCAGAATTTTATTTGGAGACCCCCCACATTTATATTAGACACCCCAGATATTCATCGGAGACCCCAGATTTTCATTGGAGGTCTCACATTTTCACTGGAGACCCTAAGCTTTGCATTGGAGATACCTAGATTTTCATTTGAAGACCTATTCTGTTTAGGGATCTCTGATAGAAATATTTTGGTGAACCCCAGATTTTCATTGGAGACCCCAAACTTGTCATCAAAATCCCCCATATTTACATCATTGACCCCTACATTTCTCTCGGACCTTTTATCTTTAACCTTCAATGAAAATAATGTTTAGTATTGTGAGTGTTCTCTAGTCCTAGAAACAATATTTATGCTCTTCCAGTAAACAATTAAGATCAATTATATTCCAATTTGTATTTAAATGCTGAGTTAACCTTTTAAAACAGACCGTTGAGAACCGGATATTACCATCTTTGCATGAAGGGTCACTTTTAAATTACGCTTACAGTCCCTTTAAAGAATGAAATCATCACATTTTTTACAAAAACAAAGATGGTTAAATAATTGTAATTGTTCAGGCTCATACCCCAATTAAAAGTTTTATATTTTGTCTAAAGAAATTGTTCACATTTAAATGTTTAGCTTCTATCATACGCTTACGGTCCCTTTGAATATCGGTATACTGATAAAATATCAACAATTAAACCCACTTAAATTTTACCCCTGAAGCATTTTCTAATTGAAGGTGATAGAAGATTGGAAGTATATCGCTATGGTTCTGGATCGACTATTTCTCTGGCTGTTCACCCTAACTTGCATATTAGGTGAATTACACAAAATTTGTCTGTGATTATGTTTGTCAGAATCTGGGATAATGGTACTAGACTGGAGAGGGAGCCTCCGCCATGCAGACACGAGCCTCCCAGATATCCTAGGCAGACCGAGCCTCCGCCATGCAGTAAGAGCCTCCGCTATACAACACAGCTTCCTTACAACTCTTGGTTTTTTATGCAATATAGATTTTTTTCCATTTTTTTAACATAGGGGCACAAGAATTTTAGTTAAGATTATTGTTTGTTGACTCCTAAAGTGATTTGTAAGATTTATATTTTACAATGCATTTCTTACGCAGTCAGGAGGCTATTTGGAAATTCATTTCTGAATTGAAATTAGTTTATTTTGTTTTAATCTTTGATTTAAGTAATAACTGTTTTTGAAAATTTTTTTAGATTAAAATTTTTTGTCAAAGCAAAATTTTTTATTATCTTATTCTGATTTTCTCTGAATGTTTTGCTTTTTGCGTAAGAAAAGTTTCAAGTTTTATAAACCACTTTACAAGTCATAATTAGTCACTTTTTATATTAATTGATTAATACTTCTGATCTTTGAGAAACTGTTTATGCCATTATTTTGAAAAAAGTACAAAAATTCTTTACTATTAAAACCAAGAGTTTTAATGAAACTATTCTGTACAGTGGGAGGCTATAGTGTCCCCAAAGCGGAGGCTTATGGAAATCCCTACCTCGACTGACAAGCAACTTTTGTTTTTTCAACCCTTCTTTATAGTTGTACACCTCCTCCCTCCTTATTTGTAAACATCGCTCCTTAGTTGTATACCTCCCTCCTTAGTTGTATACCTCTCTCCTATAGTTGTATACCTCCCTCTTTAGTTGTATACCTCCCTCCTTAGTTGTATACCTCCCTCCTTAGTTGTATACCTTCCTCCTTAGTTGTATACCTCCCTCCTTAGTTGTATACCTCCCTCCTTAGTTGTATAACTCACTCCTTAGTTGTATACCTCCCCCTCTTTATTTGTATACCTCCCTCCTTAGTTGTATACCTCCCTCCTATAGTTGTATACCTCCCTCTTTAGTTGTTTGTATACCTCCCTCCTTAGTTGTATACCTCCCTCCTTAGTTGTATACCTCCCTCCTTAGTTGTATACCTCCCTCCTTAGTTGTATAACTCACTCCTTAGTTGTATACCTCCCCCTCATCAGTTGTATACCTCCCTCCTTAGTTGAATACCTCCCTCTCGAGAAATTGTAATGAATACCTCTGCACTCTCATTGTATTTATTCCTCCATTATAGATTATTATAGATTATTTATATATTTATATATTTCAGGTTCCAGTGGAATAATATTAACTGCTCCCTCTCTATACGATATAAGAGAACCAATAGATGCTAAGCACACAACTATCGGCTTTTAATTCAGAATACAGAGATACCCATAAAACTGTGGAATAGGAAGACGATTATAATAATATAGTCATTTTTTTAAGCCTAATAAAAATAAAACCCAACAGTGTACAATTAATAAGCTACTAGAATAACAATTAATTTTAAATGAAAAAAAACTTAAAGTTGACAAAATGTTGTCTTACTTTTCCACGGCTTTATGGATCTTACTTTAATCATTTGAATATTATCAAAGCAAATGTTCTTCCAGAATATTTAAAACAAAAATAATATTTTAAATGAAAATTTGGGCCCACCCGTTTAATATTATTTTACATTGAAACAATGAAATGTTCCAACTTCCACCAGGAATAAAAAAATTATCAGGAGTTACATCTGAATAGTCAATCTTTGTAAGAAACCCTGTGCTTAAAATTACGTGCTATAAAAATATTTTATTCTCTATTTTTATCGATAAATAGGATGTGACAAATACGTAAACGTTTACTTCTGAAAATAAATCAATTGTTTCCGATAAAAAAATAAATATTCCAAGATTGAATATTCTATCTAGGTCCGGGGTGTATATTGTCTAGATAAAAAATTCCCCGCTCCCCTCTTTTCGAAAATCGCCCAAAAGTAGTTTTGTTTCTTACGGTTTTTTTCGTTTTAATGGGGAAAATAAATGTTTTTTAGAGAGAACAAAAAAAATATTTGGGTAAAAAGTATACAAAAGGATGAAATTTGTTTTTTAAAATTCTTTTTTCTTAAAAATAGACACCCCTTTACTAGGTTGAAAAGGAATGAAAGGGTGAATGGGTGAATAATTGAATATTAATGAAAGGATGAATGGGTGAATGAATTAATGAATTAATGAATTCTGCATTCCTAAGAGATTCCTCTCTGGTCCTGAGTTCTATTTAGGATGTTTATTGTTTAATTGAGTGGAATGCAAGTATATACAAGTATACAAGTATACAAAGATGGGAGGAAGGCCAACCACATTAATATCTTATCCGAGCCACATTCTCCTCATTTTCTCGTCCGAGCCAACTCAAAATCTTCGTGCTTCCAATAATATTTTTTTAATGGCCAACCCTTGCAGATAAAAATATTTTTTTTTTTATTTTGGTGACGAGGATTTAGAGGTGGCCCGGATGAAAAAATGAGGAGAATTTGGCTCGGACGAGAAATTGTTGTGGTTGGCCTTCCTCCCCTCATACAATTATAACACTGTATTTGTCATCTAGATTAATCCTTCTCATCCTCTTACATCCTTTCACTTTCTTATCATCCTCTTACATCCTTTAACTTTCTTCTAATCCCTTTACATTCTTTAACTTTCTTCTCATCCTCTTTCATCCTTTTACTTTCTTCTCATCCTCTTACATCCTTTAACTTTCTTCTCATCCTCTCACATCCTTTAACTTTCTCATCATCCTCTTTCATCCTTTTACTTTCTTCTCATCCTCTTACATCCTTTAACTTTCTTCTCATCCTCTTTCATCCTTTAACTTTCTTCTCATCCTCTAAAATCCTTTTACTTTCTTCTCATCCTCTTACATCCTTTTACTTTCTTCTCATCCTCTTACATCCTTTTACTTTCTTCTCTTCCTCTTACATCCTTTTACTTTCTTCTAATTCTCTAACATCCTTTTATTTTCTTCTCATCCTCTTACATCCTTCCCCTTTCTTCTCATTCTCTTACATCCTTTCACTTTCTTCTCATTCTCTTACATCCTTTCACTTTCTTCTCATCCTCTTAAATTCTTTTACTTTCTTTTAATTTTCTCTTTATTCAAATTCCTTAATTATTTCTTTTTGAACTTTTTCCATTTTTGTTAATTTTATTTTTGAATTTTTTTCCGACCTTTATTAGCTATTATTTAACCTCTCTAGCATTCGTACCATTAAAGTTAGCGGTCTTATTTTGTTAATGAGCCATGGCTTTAAAATATGTTTACTGAAATTGGTCTCCATCGTTTATTATTTATCTGGTTTGGTTCCACCTTCACAAACTATACATCTTTAAAAACTATATATCTTTACTCTTTTTCTAAAGGAGGGGGGGATGTGGGAAGCCCTCCCCCGTCCACATCTTTACATAGATTCAGACCCCAGCCTGGATAGGGTTAAACGACCCCTCTCCTCTACTCCTTAAAGTTCTATATCATCTTGCCTTATGATTTTGTTTAATTGTCTTGAATTTACAACTTTTCTTATTCAGTTATCTTTCTTCACCCTAATCACATATCATTTAATCTTTTCATCTATTCTTTTATCCTTTCATCCTACTGCAGTAATAAACCAGAACCCTTCCTTGACTAAAAGTCGTCTTTATTCTCTTAATCTCCTCTTGTAATTCCTCAATCTCTGCTCTCTGTTTGTCGCGTCGAACCCTTTCTGCCGTTAGATCGTCTCGAGCTGAGGTTTCCAGGTTCTCCGCTCTTCTCAACCTTATCTCTTCTCCAGACCTGACCTGCTCCTGTAGCTCCTGGTTCTTGGTCTTCAACCCGTTTATCTCGTTCCTACAAACAACAAAATAAATTGGTAAGCTTAAAAAAATGCAATTTATGAAGATTAATTTAAGCGTAATTTCAAATGACCCTCCATGTAGAGATTTACAATGGCACCCTTAAAAGCGTTGTCTGATCAAGTTTGAATTGGATATCCATGTTTTTGTTTCTGTAAACTGTTTATTTTCATTCGTGGTTTCTCTGTGACTTGCCCATTTTTTGCTTATTAGAAGAAACGGAGAAATTATCAGAATTAAACACTTTTCAGTTCAGGAATACGACAGTCTATTCCTCATTTTTGCAGAGTACCGTCGGGTATTGATATCTTTTCATGAGAGTTTACCCTCAAATTTCGCTTACAGTCCCATCTCATAAATTATATTAGTTTCAAAGTTTCAGAATTCCTAATTTACTATTTGCAATGTGGAAAGTATAAGGTTTTAGCTTCTATGTTTTCAAAAGTCCGGTTGGGCTGTGGCAAACTTATTTTGATGCAGAATTCTTGATAAAATCTTTAATTGATAAAAAATATCGTCATGAGTTTTTGACATCTTTCTTATGACAAAGTGTGATACTAAATATTGAAGTACAGACCGACTTGTAGGCAGCTAGAGAAAGTATACAGTTATACAGTTAAACCCTAAATAAGCCATACATCGAAAGAATTCATGAAATGTCGTATTCTTCACTTTCTGATAGTTGAATGTTGCTGATATTTAGTTTTTTGATAAAATGATTATATGGAGCTCTTTAAAACTGTTCCTGCATATTCATGGATATTTATATATTTTCAACTGAGCTTTACATAAAATAGTATAAAACCTATTGAAAAATTGTCAAGACGGCATTTAATAAATTCTTTCGATGTTTGGCTCATTTAGGGTTTAGCTACATCTAAATCTACATTTCATGAGTGAAGATGGGTTTTAAAGTTAAGACCATAGATATGTCTTTTAGATAGATGTCGTCTTTTCAAGATTTAGGGGTTTTTGCGTTCACAATAAGCCTGAGAAAGAAGTCCAAAGGAGTTACGTGCATGTGGCGTTGAATTACAAGAGAGAGAGAGAGCATACGTTTTACGTGTAACTCCTTTGGCCAAGGGTGATTGTGAACGAAAACCCCCTAAATCTATTAAAGTTCAAAACGAGATTCAATTCAAATAAAAGTTACTAATCGCATCTCTCCCTGGTAAGTCGAGGGTGTAAAGACTTTAGACGACAAATAATGACAGTACACCCTTTGTATTATCTATTCTTGTGAGATCAATGTCAGGTAGTTTTGAAAGTATGTAAAAAGGTAGACCACATTATTTTCTTATTATAATTTCCCAATTATACTTGTTAATTGGGCTGTAATATATTTTAAGAAATAAAATTGCATTTGTTATAAAATCCAGCAATTTTCATATTTAGTTTGACACCCTGTATATAAATACTCCTGGTATAATACCTGAGACCTGAGACCTGTTCCTCCAGGTTTTTTATCATATCTCTCTTCTCCTCTGCAACCCGTCCTGATAAGCAAGGTTTCGTGATTATAACAAATCCTTATTTCTCCTTGACATTTCTCTCTAACCATGCCTTAACGGGAATTTTATTTATGAAACTGAGTTTGGATTAAATGAAAAGTGAGAATTAGGTGAACTAAGTATTGCTATTAAACTATTTTTTAGCTCTAAAATGGTAGTTATTCTTGCTATTTATTAATTAAAAACTGCACAGGCACGACATTATTGCATTCGGAAACGGGTAATCACGTTTGTAGCTGATATTTGAATCTTCTAAATTATCCAGGGTTAACAATTTTTTGAGCTATGAACATGGAAACACGGCCATATTGAAAAAGTATGTATTTCAGAAAAGTAGATAGATAGATAGATAGATAGGAAGAAAAAACGTGAACCTTAAAGCTGCTGGTCTTGTTGATATAAATCTACGAAACATGTAAATATGAAATAAATACTAAACTATGGTATATGATAAATATGGAGTTCTTTGCTCTTTGTTTCATAAACGTTCAAAACACGTGGTTTATATTTATATTACAACATCTAACAGAAACATTTAATGTTTTTATGCTGACTAGCTTGGGAACCCAGCGTTGCACAGGGGGTCATAGTTAGTCCCACTTATTACCCGCACTTTGTCGTAAATTATGATTTTAACTATTTTCCTTGTTAAAAGGCAATCAACTCAACTTAGTATATTAAAACCAAGCTAAGAACATTCCCGTGGGTCTCCCAAGTTCCCCAATCAAAATTTGAGGCAAATCAGTCCATGGGTTCCTGAGTTATGATCGGACAAACAAACAGACAGACAATACAATTTTATTTATAGACTAACACATACCGGCTGTCCCACGAAACATGACAGTTGGTAAATAGTTTAGAATGTCTTTTTCCATAATTTGTTAAGTTGTTTGATACCAAAGATCAATAAAAATTTTATATGGAAGTCATTATAAAAAGATAATGAAGCAAAAGATTTTTTTTGACTAAAAATAACGATTTATTAAATGTCATGTTTCGTGGGACACCCCGTATTCAGAGTTGAGAACTTTTTAATGAAATAAAGTTCAACTAAATAACTTTAACTCCGAAACCTTGATAATAATTCTGAGCAATGTCCACTCCTTTCCAAACCATTTGTCATTATTACGGCGGAATTCTGACAATTGATATTCTCATAGTTTTCAAACCCCGTTTATTGCAGTGACTTTTATTTTTTCCACCCTGTAAGAATATAATAAATATGTCTCCCAGGCTTTCCATACATAAACAAGAACGAATAATCAGACTATATGCCTGATTCCCTGGCGTAGATCTAAAAGAGAAGAACAGAAAACTGATGAATGATCAGATAAAGAAGATACAACGGTCGGAGAAAAAAAATAAAATAATTTTATCGTTTAAATAATCAACTTACTTATATTTTCAGTGTGTTCCTCCTCCTTTAAGCTGAGTAGATTAGATATTTCTGATATCCTCTCCTTTATTAAATAATATTATTTTCTCATAAGTTCTATTGATCTAAAAAAAGAATACGAACAAAATCTTTTAAAAACATAAAAGAATTTCCAAACTGTTTTTGTACTGTTCAATTTCTTTGTGTGCAAAAAAACTGTAAATTATAAATATAAATTTACAATCCTTTTATCTATGCAACCTGATCAAATAGTCAAATTTAAAATATCAAAGGTTTACATCCTCAGGTTGCAAAGATATAGAGATTAGAAAATTAGGGTTGGAGGCAAGTAATCAATTCCTTTGATTTTCTAAACTTTTACTAAATCCAAGCTACCAAAGTTCGTTTATGTACTGGAGCGGAGTTCTTATATAATAAATATTTTGTTTTTACTGACAAACACAAAACCAACTGCAAGAGAAACTTCAAATTTTTCAAAACGATTTTTTCGAGTTTTCTAAAATAGCGATTGTCATGTTTTGAATCGAAAAAAAATATTTTTACCTTCAGCAAAATATTCTCCTCTAACACCAACATTGCACTAAAAATTAGTCTATCAACAACTGTTAGAAAATCCAAACAACTTAGTTCGAAATTGGGATTATAATGTTAGAGACACATAAAACATTGTTATATCTTTAACATTCTGATCGTAATTTGGAAAAAAATATTCGGATTTCCTGAATGATTTCGGTACATTAGATTTGAAATCTAGAGAACTATAAAAGTCATTTATCAAATATACATTCTAAGATTGAAAGGATTGGCGAAATAATGCTCAATTTTTGCATAAAGAGTGTTCAAATCTTGGTTTGCAGTCGGTTGATTTGATATATAACAACGGAATTGTTACAATTTCTTTTAACAGCAGAGGTCATCGAATTAGCCTTCGAAACATCAAAACCCTCAACAAGTTTTATGAGGCCCCGCCAGGATTCCTATGTAAAAACAAATTTTTAAAGGCATTGTTATTTCGATTGGAGCTGCGAAAAAAAAATGAATTTTAAACATATTCTCTTTAATACAACTTTGGTTTGGCGGTCGTCTTTTATGATTAATGAGAAGATTGGGTCTGTAATAAATATCCCCGAGTACTATATCAGGGAAACCTGATACCTTATCTATATTCCTTCTAATAACTATTATCATAATTTTATGCAAACTTCGTAACCAAATAAAAGATTAACATTATCGTTCATGAACCTTGTAAATATATATATGTTCTAGTTGGGTGCCCGCTACGCCGGTCATCCTATTTGACCTGTAACCTTATGATTCAATAAAAAGTTAGTCAAGTGTAAAACCTGGCGTTGAATAGACCTGGCTCAAACCCTAGGTAGAGAAGACAGATATACAGTGCGTTTTCTTTAGTTAAGATCGATTTGGAAAGACTGGCATTTTGTGACAGGTCAATAACGAATAAGAATTTAAAATACAGAAAAACTGGTCCACAGTGCAACACACAGATATTAACCAACACTCTAAAAAATTTCAAATTTTCATCTAAAAAATTTTTTGAAACACCGGCGTCAAATTCACCTTAGCAGAATCATTCAACAAAATTTGATGCCGGGGCTCCATAAATTTTGTTAGATGAAAATTTAAAATTTCTTAGAGCGAATCTAATATACAGTTTTGACAGTGCACACATAATACCTTTCTTTAATACGTTTATGCTCCTCTAAGTGAATCTAATATACAGTTTTAACAGTGCACACATAATACCTTTCTTTAATAAGTTTATGCTCCTCTAAGTGAATCTAATATACAGTTTTAACAGTGCACACATAATACCTTTCTTTAATAAGTTTATGCTCCTCTAAGTGAATCTAATATACAGTTTTCACAATGCACACATAATACCTTTCTTTAATAAGTTTATGCTCCTCTACAGTGCACACATAATACCTTTCTTTAATAAGTTTATGCTCCTCTAGGTCCACCGGAGCACTTGTTGCTATATCCTGCAGTTGTCCAGCCATCTCAATATTATCCTTAATTTTTTAATTTAATAAAAATTTATGAAAAAAATTATTTTTGTTATTTTACCTTAATAAGCTCCTGCAGCCTTGATCTTCCAACCTCAACCTCCTCTTGTAAACCTTGTTTTGAGTCCTGAATAGGGTTCAACATGAACAGTTAACCAATTATGTACAGTCGTCGTCATATACATCAATACAATGAAGACGACGTTTGTTTGATTTTTACCAAGCTTTCAAACAGCTCGGATAACATAAACAAAGAAACAAAGAGAAGCTGTCAAAAAAGAGCTTCTCTTTGCTTACTTACAAGTATTTGTATTTTGAAAAAAAAATAAAAAAACTGTATTAGAAAATTATACATATTATACATATTATACATATTATACATATTTTACATATTATACATACTAAAAGGCTCAGTTTATAAAATACCTTATATTAGAAAGTTTTTAGAACGCGCGGTTAGTCCTAATCTTCTAGCTGTGTATCTGGTTTAGTGCCTGAATATCTAAATAATTCCCGCGCTATACGGTTCCTTTTCTCATAGCTGTGTAAAGTACATGGAGATCTAAAACTTTCAGCTCTATATTGTACCTGGAGTTCTATTATCTCCTAAATGCGTATAGTATCTAGAGTCTCAGAACACCCATCTCTGTATGGTACCTGAAGTTCTCGAATCACTTATCTGTGTATCCTGTACCTGGATTTCTAAATAATTCCAGCTCTGTATGGAACCTGAAGTTCTCGAATCACTTATCTGTGTATCCTGTACCTGGAGATCTAATTCTTCCAGGTCTGTATGGAACCTGAAGTTCTCGAATCACTTATCTGTGTATCCTGTACCTGCAGATCTAATTCTTCCAGGTCTGTATGGAACCTGAAGTTCTCGAATCACTTATCTGTGTATCTTGCACCTGGAGATCTTATTCATCCAGGTCAGTATGAAACCTGGAGTTCTCTACTCTCCTAGCTGTTTAAAGTACTTGGAGATCTAAAACTTCCAGCTCTATATTGTACCTGGAGTCCTAGAATACCCAGCTCTATATGGTACCTGGATTCCTAGAAAACCCAGCTCTATATGGTACCTGGAGTCCTAGAATACCCAGCTCTATATGGTACCTGGATTCGTAGAATACCCAGCTCTATATGGTACCTGGAGTCCTAGAATGCCCAGCTCTATATGGTACCTGGAGTCCTAGAATACCCAGCTCAATATGGTACCTGGAGTCCTAGCTAGAATACCCAGCTCTATATTGTACCTGGAGTTCTCTAATCTCCTCCTCGTATGCAACTAGAAGAGGGACAAGCCCTCCAAGCTCGTGTATCCAGGGGGCATCAGGGAACTCTGTCAGGGATATTCCTTAAAATTATCATAAAAATTAAGAGTTTCCGGAGGAAATATAAAAAAAAATTAAGGTTGTGGAAATATTTCTCCTGCAATTCCAAAAACGAAAAGGTAAGTTAGAGTAAAGTGCACTTTCATAGAAAAAGGTTGATAGATAGATATAATGGAAGCATGTTTTTAAATAAAGAAGGTAATAAACTGTTATGGTTGGATTAAAAAATTCTGCGAATGTCAAGAAAGGATTATGGCTGAAGTAAAGTGGTAAAGTTATAAATCCTTTTTTGTTCTTTAACATATTCTACTTTGAGTTAAACCAGAATAAACATTTGACGACAAACAAATATTAGATGGACACTAAAAACCAAAATGCAAAAAATAAATAGGATTTTGCAAATTACTTCTTTTAACTGAAGCTAAAAAGAAGCCACTTGCTGTTTAAAAATCTAGATGTCCAACGCTACAAAAAAAGCATAAGTCTGTATAAAATGAGACTAAACACAGTTATATCAAGATTTAGATTATTTCTAAGGCCAAACTATTGAATTTAAAATCTTTTTCTTATTATATATAATGTCTAATTTCAGCCCCCTGCCCCCCCCCTAATCAAAAAATGAAACTAACTCTACCACAAGAGCATAGCAATACCTTTCAGTTTTTAACAGAATTATAAAGTTTTTACAACTTTAAACTTTTTTTGAGCAGTTGGTTTAATTAATAAAAACTGCAACTCTCGTTGTAATTTCAAATGACTCTACATTTATAGAGGTGCATTTCTGATTTAAAACGACTTATCATTTAAGGAATATATCGTAGAGAACTGTGACTGAAAATAATTTAAACTCCGTAATTTTTATAAAAAATGTTTAAAGGTACTATAGAGAATCAGACATGCCTCTTTATAAATGAATGGCCAATTGAAATTACGTATACAGTACTTGTAATATCTAATGATCGCATAATTTCCACAACAAAAATTGTCAAAAACTAAATAAGAGGAATGCCAGTTTTAAGATATTGATCTCTTAATTACAATTGTTAACTTTTGAAATATGTTTTTTATTCATGTATTAACCAACCAGAGCCCGTTCTCTCCATAGAAAGTGGTCGTGTAGTTCACGTACTTTGGGGGACGATATGTTGGCCGCTAGATGTCTCCTGCTAAATTCTTATCTGATAGATAGATATTTCTCCGTACATTTGACGACCAATATAGGAGACGTCAAGTTGTCGACCAATGTAGTTTATGGAAGGAACGGCCTCAGGGTCTATTTATACCGGACGGAGTAAATAAAGAAAGAGGTTCAAAGATCCAATTCGAAACCTTAGAAATGAGTTCCGTTATATCTATTAAAAGTTTTCTGGTTTAATTCAATGAAAAACATGTTTTCACAAAACTTTGTTGTAAACACAAACTTCAATTTTTACTTGAAGGGCCTTTACTGTGCCTCTTTTTTAAATGAATTGGCACGTTCGACTCACAACGGTACCTTAAAATTGCGACTCTATCTTCCACATTATTGATTAATTTTTCAATGGTAACGTTAAAATGGAGGGTCACTTAAAATTTCGACGACTTTCCGCAGTGCAATTTTTTCATTTGAAAATTATTCGTATATAGGCTCCCTCTTCCCGGCTAAACAGCTGAACCGAATAAGCTTATAAAAGTAAAAAAAAAAATATTTTTAAAATTTAATTTTTCTCCACGGGAAACCGGCCCTTCGGCTAGTAATTCTTAAAAATGGTTTCTGTTCAACGACTAAAACAATGTTTACCTGTATCTAAATGTCTCGACTGCTCTTTACTGAAACAAAAGCATGTAGTTATTAAAAATCACATTTCTATAGTAATTTAGTCTTTGCAACAAACTTCAATTGTCTAGCCCTACATCTTTGCTACTGGATGGTGAAAGCCTTTGCTATTTAAAAAAACCCTAATTTGAAATACCTAAGGTCTACGTCATTGGGTTCCAAAGGTAAAGGGATTTTTAAAAACACAGTTTGTGGCAAAGAATTAATACCTTTGCAGAAAAACCACAATTTTATCACTTACTCTTGATGGGGAAAAAAGGCAATGCCGGAGAACTATAAATTCTCAGAATAGTTATTGTAAAAAATAGTTTTTCTAAAGCTTGTGTACATTTTTAATTTCAGGGGTACCATTGAGTATCTTTGATGACGCTCATTTATACCTTAGATGCTGAGTGAGTTTATAAACCATATTCTTGAGAACTGAAACTTCTCCTGGGGATTCATCCTTGCTCTCCAACCAATCAAATCCTTCAAACCTTCTCCGAACCTTTCTGCTCCGGGGTTGGAACCGTCTCCGTTGCTTCTCCTGGTTTGGGTTAACACTGCTCACGGTTTCCGAGAGTGGGTCTCTAGATCTAGACCTGGATCTAGGTCTAGGTTTGGGTCGAAGTTTGGAGGTTGGTTCGGAGTCAGGTTCTGAGAAGGGTTGAGGAGGAGGAGGAGGTTCAAATACTTTGCTGTACATATTCTCATCATTGTCCTCTTCCTCTCCATCCTGAATCTCGATCTGTTCTATATATCCATTCTTCTCCGGAAATCCTCCATTCTCTAGATATCTGTCCGTATCTAGATATACGTTCTGCTCCGTATCTCTATTCTGATCTTGATCCCGTCTACTTTTGTAGGAATGAATCTCAGCCTGAGTTTCATTTCCACTAAAAGTTCCAATATCGTCTAAATCACTGTCCTAAAACAAAAACAAACAAATATGATTTTTTATATTGATTTACAAACTAATTAGGTGTTGGGCATTTTCCCAAGGGCGACTACCCAAGTGACAATTACCCAAGTGGCAACTTCCCAAATGTGCAATTTCCCAAGCGGCAACTTCCCAAAGGTTAGGTTAGACCATCTGAGGCGCCGCAGTCTGCAATGGAGGGGGGGCCGAGCGCTGCAGCTAGGACAGACTTCGGAAGTTGCAGCTTGGGATTTTGCACATTTGGGAAGTTGCCACCTGGGAAAATAGCCTGGGGAAGTTGCCACTTGGGAAAAATCCTTTGATAACATCATTAATTACATATAAAAGACCCCAATATAAATTGTTAAAATTGAGAAATCAAGATCTACAATGAAAGTCGTCTTTATCTTTAAGATTAGAAACCTGATTTTGTAAATTTTTAATTCTGAAATTCTAACCTGAAATCTAACATGACTAGAATCCATTTTTAACCCTGTAGGGCCGGGGGGAGAACTGTTATCCTGAAATATTCAATATTTAACCCTGTAGGGCCGGGGGGAGAACTGTTATCCTGAAATATTCAATATTTAACCCTGTAGGGCCGGGGGGAGAACTGTTATCCTGAAATATTTAACTTTAACCCTGTAGGGTCGGGGGGAGAACTGTTATCCTGAAATATTTAATTTTAACCCTGTTGGGTNTAATAATAATAATATTAATAATAATAATGATAATAGGAGAACTGTTATCCTGTAATATTTAATTTTTAACCCTGTAGGGCCGAGGGGAGAACTGTTATCCTGAAATATTCAATATTTAACCCTGTAGGGCCGAGGGGAGAACTGTTATCCTGAAATATTTATTTTTAACCCTGTAGGGCCGAGGGGAGAACTGTTATCCTGTAATATAAAATTTTAACCCTGTAGGGCAAGGTTAGAACTGTTATTCTATAAAAGTGAATTCTTATTAATGTTCGTCCGTGTCGGGAGAGGGGGGGGGGAAGAGGTTTTCATGTCCCCCATACATTGTTTTACTTGAGAATATCGGCCTTTTCACTTTTTGTCAAGGGAAGAAAAGTTTAAAAATTAAATGGGGGGTTGGGAGCACATGAAAAAATAAAAGATGTGTAAAAATTATTGAACAAATGGTAGGTTAAAACAAAGAAATTGTTTTGATTAAAGAAATAAACAGATTATATAGAACGAAGATGAAAGAACAGCTTTTTAGGATTAATTGTTAGAAACAAAAACATTCTGTTTGTAACTTTCATCTTATTCCATTTCCCTAAAAGTGGTCTTACGTTATTCTTTTTCCCGCATAATCGACTAAAGATAGAGGGCATTACGTCATAATATATCTGAAATTTAAATCCTGTATGCATAGATTTATAATAAATAACAGATACGACGCTAGATGTCGTATTTTCAAGGTTCAGGGGTTTTTCATTTACAATAACCCTAAGGCAGAAGCCCAAAGGAGTTCCACGCAGGCGGAATTGAATTATAAGACAGAGAGAGAGCATGTGCTGCCTTCACGGAACTCCATTGGGCTTCTGCATCAGGGTTATTGAAGAAGAAAACAGCCTAAATCTGGAAAAGACGATAACTAGTTTCCTATCTGTTAATGTTTATTAATCTATGGCTATATGTAAGGAGGCAAAAACAAGACTTTATTAACAATAATACACTGCGTTTTTTTAAATAGATAATTTCTGTATTATTTGTGTAAATTAATTTTTTGTACAATAATGTTCTTAAATCCCCCGAGAGGAGGGAGGGGGTGCAGGGCCGTCATAAACCCAGCGTAATGACCTCCGGAGCCTCCTGATAAGCAGAATGACCACCAAGCCCCGAGAAACCGTCTCCGTGCCTTTCGCTACGTCTCCAAGCCTCTGTCTCCATGCCCTGCATTTTTGTCTCCAAAAAATGATTCGCTTTTACTTCCACAAAAACCTTTATTTTCAAACAATCTTAATAAAATGGTCATTATGCATATCAGGAGGCTCTGAAGGATATTTCGAGTGGCTCAGGCCGGCCTTGCCCTCGTTCAATTCATAAAATTCGGTCTCTGGAGTAAAAAACACCATAGCTTTGTTTAGATTCGCACTCAATTCACATCAAACAAAAGTAAATTTCACTTAATTCTGAAATATTATATGTATTCAATCATAACTCCTTCTATTGAAAAGCTATCTATTGAGATTGACAAATTGTTTTGAATTTCACATATGTATTTATTCCTAAAAGCAACACTAGAGGAGCTACGAGGTCACAAAGTAATGTCCGATAAACTGTTAAGTTTAGAACTCACACTACGTGTCTCCGTGTATCTGAAACTACCTGGATAAGTCTCCTCTCCGCTAAAGCATTTACGAAACCCGGAGTTTGGTCCGAGGGGAGTATACATTATACTTTCCCTGTGGTTTTATAGACCGGAGAAAAAGGGGAGGAAGGGGGGGAGATACCTGCTTTTACTTTTACCTGCTTCCAGGCTGATACATTCTTCTTGCAGTTAATAATAAACTGCAACAGTATGAGTAAAGGTAACATTTCATATCTTGCTTTTAGTTGCATTAAATCGCTTTACTAGAAGAGTATATTTTGTCTATAGATCGCATATTTAAGGAGTTTTAGGGGGGAAAACTTATTTGCTTTGAATGGTTTTTTTCTTATTCTTATTTTATTGTATAACGCTGATGTGCTCTGCTCTTTAAGATTGGAAGTTGAGTAAATTAGTTAAGAAGTAATTGAATTGATTCAAGTAATAGGAATAATTAAGGGCGGAGGAGACATGTATAATCTGTATAATAAAGCTCTTCGTTTATATATTTGTTTGTGTATGTGTTAGCTATAGCTGGCCAAACGGGTGGACCGAATGGGCTGGAATTTGTTAAGGGAACCCGTGGGTGCCCGGGGAGTAACATGGGCTAAGACATTTTTTTCTCTCTCTTCTTCTCCATAACCCTAATCAATATCCCTCTCCCTTCTCCTCCCTAAATACTAAGCTAACCCCCTCATGAACCTGTTTACCTAGCAGATGATGTAGATGCTGAGGGTGAACTGGTGAGACTAGACTACGATCAGGAGACTGCTAAAGGAGAGAAGGCTCTCAAGGTGAAGATACATCTAAAGATTTGTCATGATTTTATCCTTCTTAAAGGGACTGTAAACGTTAATCTTAATCAAGAATGATCAAGAATGAGTTATCTCTAATCTTCTCTTTAAAAGTTTAATATTTTCAAGAGTGGCTTGTGCTTTACTTCGGAAACAAGAGAGGAAATTGTCAGAATTAAGCCAGGAAAACGACAGTTTCTACTTTTTAACTGACAACTTCTCTTTTTTAATATTTTTATTTCTGCTGAATGAAAGCTTGCTAGATAAAAATGCTGAAATTGAAAGTCGTCTTCACTGAAGTGATCTGAACGCTTACCACTGTATAATAGCCAGGGGGTGGAAACTTCATGTGTGTGTGTCTGTACCTAAAGAGTGTGTGTAAGGAATACCGAACCGAAGGCATGTACTGTAGGTATATACAGTACATAAGAATCTCGGTATTTGTACATTCTAGGAGATATACATTTGTTTATTGCTAATTGTTTACTTAAAAATAAGTTTAATATACATGTAATATATTATTTATAAGTCAACAATATAAGCCAAATTGATATGCAAAGAATATAATTTGATTAAAGTTTACAATAAACTACTCGTTATTCAAGCTTAATTATAATTGACGACATTGCAATTTTCTTGACTGCAGTCATGCTGTGCGTCTGTACCAAAAGAGTGTGTGTAAGGAATACCGAACTTGTCTGCAGTACGACTGGCTTTCTCATGTCAGACCAGCGCCATTTCCTTTCCATTTATTCCTATTCCCTGATTATAGCAATATTTAAATCATATTTTCAGGTGATATGCTTGGGAGACAGTGCAGTTGGGAAATCAAAGCTAGTGGAACGCTTTCTTTTAGATGGGTAAACATGTAAACAAACAACAAATAGTGCAGCACACCGTACAAAACACAAACAAACAATAAATAGTGCAGTACACCGTGCAAAACACAAACAAATGAAAACTTAAAAATTCAAATCTTTCACTTTGTAACACAATTATATACTAAAGTAGAATATCTACATAAGATGTTTTCCATGCTGGCAAAAAAAGTTATTAAAGATTGACGAATACAGTTATTAAACTTCAAGCGGTGTTTCTGATAATCCTAATCAAATTATGCGTTATGTATGTCTAATCTTAATCCAAATTAATTTCTGCTCCAAATCCAAATTTAATTAGCCCAATTTAGTTCTGTTTCTAATCCTAATTTAAATATGTCATATGGTTCCAATCCTAATCCTAACAAAGTTCTGNAGTTCTGTTTCTAATCCTAATTTAAATATTCCATATGGTTATAATCCTAATCCTAACAAATTTCTGGTTCTAATCCTAATCCTAACAAATTTCTGGTTCAAATCCTAATTTAAATATACTATATGGTTCTAATCCTAATCCTAACAAAGTTCAGTTTCTAATCCTAATTTTAATATGCCATATAGTTCTAATCCTAATCCTAACAAAGTTCTGTTTCTAATCCTAATTTAAATATGCCACATGATTCTCATCTTTATCTAAATTCTAATTAACTCTTGAAAACAAAGTTTTCAGTAGGTTTAGGACTAAACTACTAAACAGAGAAAAAATAGGAACTATCTCAGAGATATGAATAAGGAAATAAACTTTTAACGCAATTCATGAAGTACACAAACATAATATACACAATAAGTACATAAACACATATCCTGAAACACATATGGTACACAATATCCATAAACTAAAACTAAAAGTAAATTGCACGTAAAGGGGATTTTACGAATGAAAACGTAACTTCTTTTTATAAATAGCTAGTGCACGCACCTCTGCCCCTTTAGTAAAAGTAAATTCAACATATACGAAGCATAAAGTCTGACCGCGTCAACCTTGTTGTACTGGTTAGTCCTGTTGATTGTCTGCTTTGATAACCCAATGTCCGTGCGGTACAATACAAACTGTGACCCGGCACGGAAATCCAAATATGCTACGGCTGCCTGTGATTGAGAAGAATTCTTTTGTAACCGAATTAATTTCCTTTACTCATTTTTATGCGTTAAAGAAAAACTAGTAGAAATTCTGAGATCCCATAATCGTACCAGTGGTTTTACTTTCTACTTCTATATAAATTGTAGTTAATAATAATACATACAGCATTATTATACTTAGTGTGCAGTTCACCAAGCACGTTTCATGCACAAAATACAGGCTAGCTGGATCGATGTGCACTGCAGTGGGCATGGCTCATACTATTTATCTAGATACATTCCCAGTAATTGATATTATTAATCTAGGTCACACGCATCTCATATTATGTTTTCAGGTACGCTCCTCAGCAGCTCTCTACCTATGCGTTAACACTGTACAGATACCGGAGTAAAAGGTCTGACGGAGATATCTTGATTGATTTCTGGGATACTGCAGGACAAGAGAGATTTAACTCTATGCACAGGTATGGGAAATATAGCAAATAACTTTAGAAATTTCCAGGACGCTTCCCGTCCATATTTGATTTAACTTTTAATTGTTGCACTTTAATTCTTTTTTTGTGTGAATTTTGACAAATTAATTAAGGCCAATTTTTTAATTATAAATTATGATTATGGCAAATTTTTTAATATTTAAAGGACCCGATCGGTTCAGCCGTTTTGACGTTTATTGGAAACAAACAAGACAAGCAAAGTATATATAGGATGGTTTAAGAGTCTAGCACTTATTTTATCATTTAAATTAACATTTTATAAAATCAGTGAGTTCATTAGCACACAATTTCCAAAATTAAACTCGAAATTCCAATTATGACGATAAAAAAACATTTTTGAAAACTTAGTTCAAGCGAAGTGGTTCAACTCAGTATGTGTAGATAAAATGCTTCTCGCTATTCAACAAATTTCATCCCGGGACGATTTACTTATCTAACCTATCTCTAGGTCCTACTATCACCAGGCCCATGCGTGTATCCTAGTGTTCGATGCTACTAGAAAAGTAACCTATAAGAACCTCTCCAACTGGTATTCAGAACTCAGGTTGGTTCGACTCATGGTTAAAGAAAAGATTAGTTGTGTTTGTTCGGATAACTGGTTTGTAAGTTGGTTGGCACTTGTTTAATATCGACCATTCCACGTCAAACTAAGGTAAATTCTACACAAGATTGTAATCTTAACTGAAGCTATTGAGAAGAACAAAAATGATTTGAATTTCTTATATGTTTCCTGATTTGGGAACTTTAGAATGGGATACCATTAATCCCGACTGCTTAATCCGAATATCCAATGTGGACACTTTTAATTTCTTGCTTAATCTACTCTTTTTTTGGATATAGTACAGAAAAATCAAAAACCGGTTTTTTAACGTTAGAGAGTTCTTCCGTTTCTGTATATCAATCTTAAATAGGCGCAAAAATTCAAATTTCCCGGCATCTGATACGCGACTCTGATTGATTGAATTTCATACACTATTCAGGATACAAGGTTAGTCTCGAGATTAAGAAAAAGAGGGTATCAAGCATTGCTCTCGATATCCACCATTCTAAAGTTCTGAAAACATTTCTCATACTTGCGCGTAAAATCAAATTAGAGGAGCTAAAAGTTCAGAAAGTTGTCCCAATAATGTCCCGGCTTAAATTTTTCTTTCTCCTTCTATCTAGCCTGTTATAGCGATAATTCAAAAGTTTTAAAATTTCGTAACTGGGATATTTCGCTATTACATTTTAAATTATATTTAATCCACAGTGTGATTGGACAAAATCAATAAAAAAATGTCTTATAAACCCACAAAACTATTAAGTATTAATGCTTTGTTTCAGGAACAAAAGAATTTAAATTATAATTTATAAAACCAAAAAACCTAAATAATTTTAAAAAGTCCCACAAACAGAAACATCTGATCAGAATCAGTGCTGATCTATTCATAATTTAAATGTGGTGTAAAGTGTCATTTTAAGTGACCCTCCGTGCAAAGATGACAATGTCCGATTCACAACGGTACCCTTAAACCTTTATCTAATCAATAATTTGAAAATATTGCAGTTTTTCTAGACTTTAAAGTGTTTAATTCTGATAATTCCTGTAAAATATAAATGCGCAATCACTTTTGTAGAGAAACCACAATAGAAAATAATCATTTTCTAATTCATACTTAATCAGACAAAGCTCTTGTGAGTCGTGAATTGGGTATTGCCCTCTTTGCAAGGAGGTTCACTTGAAATTTCGCGAGCACTCCCTTAAAGTAAATCTCTGAATATTTAGATCCTACCGTCCTTCTATCCCAGCTCTGGTTGCTGTAAACAAGATAGATGAGAACCTAGAAGTAACGGAGAAATCCTTCAACTTTGCAGCAAAGGAAACTATTCCCATCTATTCACCGAGGGGAGGAAGGCCAGCCACAACAATTTCTAGTCCGAGCCACATTCTCCTCATTTTCTTGTCCGAGCCACCTCGAAATCCTCGTCCTTCGAATATTATCTTTTTAAAGTGTTTAAATCTATAAAACAATTTTTTAAGAATCGGGTCACGTTAGAGCATTAACGAAATATTTAATTTTTGTAAATCGAAGAAAATACTTTCAATAGAATTAAAGTTTTTAAGTGCAAAATCCTGAAAAATATTCAAATTTTTTACGCGCATTTTCAGATAATCTCGGTGTAGAATGCCGCAAATTATTTCAAGTTTATAGAACTTTAATTTTTTTTTGTTATTTATAGCGAAAACCGTGGAATTTTTTCGGGTTGTTCTATGGGGCAAATTATAAGCAGAGGTGTGCCAAATATTTTGCTATTTATTTTGTATCACGAAGGTTTGCCATTACGGAGGCAGAAGAGATTTAAGTTTTACCTAAATAAAGTTTTACATTATTCTCACGGCTTTGAAGATTTCAACATGATGTAAGCATTGCAATACTTAAGTCTATCCATATTTTATGCCCTAACGTGGACTGATTTTTAAAAGATAGCTTGATCTTCAAGCATTAGAAACTTTAAAACACATAATAAGCGAAGGACGAGGATTTTGAGGTGGCTCGGACGAGAAAATGAGGAGAATGTGGCTCGGACGTCATGTTCACAATTAATTTAGAAGATGGGCGCGAAGCGCCCTCTAAGGCTAGTTTTCTATATATATGATATATGGTAAACTATCATAATGATAAATCAATGGGTAAAAATTTGGCTAAATGAAATTTAAAATGTCTACTTATAAATTTTGATTCATTTAAACAAATTCAAATAATTTTTTTACTTTGTTATACGGACAGTGAGACCTATAAAACTGTGGAATAGGAAGAAGATATTTACGGAGTTGAATTGGTATTTGATGTTGTTCAAAGCAAATAGTTTTACCATTAGCTTTAAATTCAACGTATTTAGTGAAATGAGTCTGTGTACACTGCACAATTGCTGTTTTTTTACATTTGACATTGTAAAACTTGAGTCTAACAATCGTCTTCCTATTCCGAAGATTTATGCGTCTCACTGTATATTTGATGTTTAGAGACGCTATCGACAAGGCAGTGGAATACAAGAAGAATCCGACTGATCTAGAAGACCAGATTCTAGAAGAGCTCGACAACTTCCATATAGACAAGGACAACTCAGAGGACAATAAGGACGACAACACCTCAAAGGACAAAGATAAAGAGGACAAGATTTAAATCCAGAAGATTTAACCTGAATTAAGAAGTAAAAGTCTAATAAAAGATTTAAAAGAATTAAACTCTAATTTTCTAATCCATACATCTGACGTCAGGTAGATATTTCTATGGTTTCTTCAATGGTCTACTCCATCATATTCCTTAAACTCTAATTTTCTAATCCATACATCTGACGTCAGGTACCTTAGATATTTTCTAATCCATACATCTGACGTCACTTACCTTAGATATTTTCTAATCCATACATCTGACGTCAGGTACCTTAGATATTTTCTAATCCATACATCTGACGTCAGGTACCTTAGATATTTTCTAATCCATACATCTGACGTCACTTACCTTAGATATTTTCTAATCCATACATCTGTACCTTAGATATTTTCTAATCCATACATCTGACGTCACGTACCTTAGATATTTTCTAATCCATACATCTGACGTCACGTACCTTAGATATTTCTATGGTTTCTTCAATGGTCTACTCCATCATATGGCAACGAAATAAGGATTAGAAAGTTTAGGCAATTGATTAGTTCCATTAAAGGTGAATTATCATCATCATTGTCCACGTGTTTAGAGAACCTGAATAATCTATGATCTATTGCCTCGTTAATTATTTCAATAAAATAATCAGATTCAAACATTGAACATGAACATAGATATTTATTTTTGGTATTTTAAACCATCAAACGCAAATTTGTAACATGATGATAAATAATAAAAATTAAAAGACTAATATACAATTAGTTTCCTAGATTAATCACGTGATTAAATTTGAATGGCATGTATTGTTCCTCTTCAAGTAACTAAATATGAAAAACTATCATGATTAACAAAATCATGACTTTGCTTCCCTTCCCTGGGCCCGCGGATTTTTTTCTAAAACAAAAAACTATTTTATCGATATGAAAATTGATATGAAAATATGAAAATAGTGAAACCACATTCATTCACGATAACGGATCACTTCTCATGAAAACTGACGTTTACAATAATTATGTATTTCTCAATGTTATCGCAATAATAAATAAATTCTGTTGACAATATGCCAAGTTTATTGTTCTGTGTGAAGTGAATGCATAGTTATTAAACTGCATTTTATTTGATGCATATTCTCTAAACTAGCTGGACAGTTTAGATTCAAGGACTAGGATAAAAATATAATTAGATTAAAAACTATATTCTTTGCTTGCTCTAAAGTTGATATATATATACGGGTGAGGGGAAAAACCGGGATTATAGAAGTTTTGGACAAAATTAACATTTTTTTATTTCGGATTTTAGGCATAAAAAAATTAAATGTGATAAAAATTTTAAAATTTTTTTGGAAGATTGAAAAAAATCTGCGAAACCAAATTTTAAAAATATTTTGTGGATAAAGTGGATCTAGTGGATCTAGTGGATCTAGTGGATCTATTGAATCTATTGAATTTAGTGGATCTAATGGATCTAAAACTATTCCCTTGTAAAGCCTACCCTGCTAATTACACAGGAACAAATACATATCATGTAATGGGGGGCGGGGCTTCATAGTGCCAGATCCTCCTTTTTAATACAGGGGTTTATTTTTCTAATAGAAACAGGAGGAGAGCAATAAAACCTCAACCTCAACCTCAACCTCAAACTCAACCTCAACCTCAACCTCAATATTTGTCTCCATCAAAATTCAATCGTCATTAATTTTTTAAAAATTTTGAAAATCCGCTCCTCAACCTCAACCTCAACCTCAACCTCAACCTCAACCTCAACCTCAACCTCAACCTCAACCTCAACCTCAACCTCAACCTCAACCTCAACATCAACCTCAACCTCAACATCATCCACAACATCATCTTTAATCTTTACCTCAGACTAAACCTCTACCTCAACCTCAACCTTAACCTCAACCTCAACCTCAAGTCAGCCTCAGCTTCAACCTCAGCCTTAACTTTAAGATCAAGCTCAAGCTCAACCTCAACCTCAACCTCAAACTCAATCTCAAACTCAATCTCAACCTTAACTTCAAGGTCAAGCTCAAGCTCAACCTTAACTTCAAGATCAAGCTTAAGCTCAACCTTAACTTTAAGATCAAGCTCAACCTCAACCTTAACCTCAACCTCAACCTCAACCTCATCATCATCCTCAACATAATTTTTAATCTTTACCTAGGCCTATACCTCCACCTCAACCTCAACCTCAACCTTAACATCAACCTCAATCTCAAGTCAGCCTCAGCTTCAGCCTCAGCCTCAGCTTCAACCTCAGCCTCAGTATCAACTTCAACTTCAACCTCAACCTCAACCTCAACCTCAACCTTAATCTCAACCTCAAACTTAACCTCAATCTCAACCTCAATCTCAATCTCAACATTAACTTCAAGATCAAGCTCAACCTCATCCTCAACATTAACTTTAACTTCAACCTGAACTCTTAAACTTCAACCTGAACCTCAATTATATTCCTAAACTAACCTCAACCTGAGTCCTAAATAATCTATAAGGTTGGTTGATGAACCCCTGTATTTAATTTAGTAGAAGGATGAGCGAGTAAAGATTAGTTTACCGGGGAATATTCTAGGTTTAACAGTTCTCCATGTAGATGTATAACTTACACACCAGTTCTCCTGTATACCTGGAGTCATTATACACTCAACCTTGTCTAGTTGGAAGATGAGCTGGAAAGAAGTAAACGAAGATCTGGAGAGAATGGAAGATGAAGTAAAGAGAATGGAGGAGAAGGACGAACCCCAATCTACAGATAGAGGAAAAACTTCTAATAAATCACCTGGAGCTACGAATACGAAATTTGCGTTGAGTAAAGATCTTCAACTTTTAGATGAGATTAGAAACTTTGACAGAGAACGAGGACTGAGAAGAACTAAGGCAGGAGAAGAAAATATAGACCCTGGGGCTAAATCAAGTTCAGATATTAGTACAATTGTAGAGATACATCAGGATGAAGATACATCCAACCCTAGGAAAGGTTGGCAAGAAACCCCGGTTATCTGGCTAGAAAAAGAGGTAAACCCTGAGCCAAAAAGAAAAATAGGAAGAATAGTGAAACCCTGGAGCAGAACGGATTCAAAGTCCGACACAGTTCCCAAACCTACGGAATGGAAAAACACCGAACCTTTGAGCCGGACGGATAGAACTCCGGAACCAAGATCCAGTTTTGAAGATAAAGAGAGAAGAATATCTCAAAGTTCTCTTGGAGTTGGCGAAATAAGGTTTATATAATGTTAAAAGTGTTATAATTAAGTTGAATTGAAACTTTTAAAACCAAAATTTCGTTGTTGTCTGTAACGGTAGAAATCCATGAACCGGTTCAGAAAGAGCCAAAGAGCTATAAATATTCGTGTTTAAAAAGAAATTTCAAAATGTCTCCTTGCTTGCTTAAATTAAGGCTAAAAGAGAACCGTTTAACAAAGTGTCACTAACAATTTATTAAAAATAAGTACGGTAAAGTCAAGGGACCTTAAAGTAAAGAGACAACGCCACCAATATAACCGTTATCTGTAGGAGATCAAAATATCTTTTCTTTTTTGAATATAAAAAAAGAATATTAAAAAAAATATTTTTTGGCTATATTTATGAAGGAGTTATCGCAGAGAGTAGGAATTATAGTACGGAGACCTAGTATCGGAGATTAATTATATTTATAAAGGAAGGATCGGAGAGTAGGAAGTATATTACGGAGACCTAGTATCAGAGATTAATTATATTTATAAAGGAAGGATCGGAGAGTAGGAAGTATATTACGGAGACCTAGTATCGGAGTTAAATTATTTTTATAAAGGAAGGATCGGAGAGTAGGAAGTATATTACGGAGACCTAGTATCAGAGATTAATTATATTTATAAAGGAGGGATAGGAGAGTAGGAAGTATATTACGGAGACTAAGTATCAGAGATTAATTATATTTATAAAGGAGGGATCGGAGAGTAGGAATTATAGTACGGAGACCAAGTATCAGAGATTAATTATATTTATAAAGGAAGGATCGGAGAGTAGAAAGTATATTACGGAGACCAAGTATCAGAGATTAATTATATTTATAAAGGAAGGATCGGAGAGTAGGAATTATAGTACGGAGACCTAGTATCAGAGATTAATTATATTTATAAAGGAAGGATCGGAGAGTAGGAAGTATATTACGGAGACCTAGTATCGGAGTTGAACCTACTTCTCCTTCTCCTTCCGTGGACAGACTTTCAGTCACATTCGCTCCAGGCATATTTATATATTTTCAGCCTTTAGTAAACTTTGCAGAATATGCACATTGTACAAGTATGTACGGTAATCCCCATAAAACTGTAGAATTGGAGGCGTTTGTTAAACTCAAATTGTGATCTTAAATAATCTAATTCATATGACAAGTATGCAGTCCACATAGACCTTTTTAATTTAATAGCTTTATTTTTAAAACAATATTTGTTTCATAACAAAATTAATATAAGACTTAAATGTCGTCTTAATTCTTACAGTTTTATGGGGCCCTCCGCACATAAATTAGGCCTAGGTTAACAACTCTAACAGCAAATTGTTTAATGATATCAATAGCGATCAAATCCAAATTTGATTTGGATTCAGCTTATGCCTCCTTGCAATTTTTGCAAAAAGTCCTTTACAGGTTTTCTTTTCTAGGCGGTAAAAACCCCCATTTTGTTTTACTGTTTCCACACTGCAGGTATACTTCCTGCATGTGTGCTATCTAACCCTATGGCCCTCAACATCTTTTTATAGAAAAAAAATGTCTTACAAATTATTTAATTTCCTTTAAATCAATTCTCTTACGTTTTAATGTTTAATAATGAGTTTATTTCACCTATAGCGAATACACACGTTAAAAGTTATCTAACAAAGGATATGTCCATGAATTGAACTCTTTGAACTCCTTTTCAGGTTCAAAGGGACTGACAAAATTCCAAAGATAATATATATATAGATACGCAGGCAGGTATAAATTTAGAGGTCTTGAGAAAATGTGCAAACAGCACCATCTCTGTCGTACGCATGGCATTTTATCCTCTGGATTGTTGCTAATTTATCACTTTGTTTATGCGTGATAACACTAAATGCGTACTATAGTATCAACAATTTATACTGCATATTGTACTTAATGAAACAAATTCAACAATGCAAATAAAACTGAGGTAGGAATTTGACTAGACAAAGTTTAAATGTGCAAGTTGTACTGAATGGCAAACGTAAATTAACGCAATTTAAATAAAAATTATGACTATAAAAGTACATCGAGTCTAGGAAAAATTACAAATGATCTGATCATAACATAAACAAAACGCGTACTGTATCTTTGTGTTACCTTGAAATTAAATTTTATTGGTCAAACAGGTCCAGATAGCAACACTTGAACTATACAGGATGCAATACGCGTACTGTATGTTTTTATAACACAAATGCGTATTTCCTACAGAAGGCAGCAAGGGGAGAAAGGAATATTGAAAGTAATCAATTTGCTATAGATGTCTCTCCTTGCACCTTTTCTCAGAGGTTCAAAAATTAGTTCTCTGCTACAAGCAATTTAAGAAGGAGGTTTCTACCTGCCTGCATATCTATATATATATTATCTTTGCAAAATTCCTACCGAGGGATTGTCTAATTTTCCTTCTCTAATCTCTGTTCTGTGTTTAAAGTTGATTTAGATTCTTATTACGTCATAACTCATTATAACTGGTACAGAGTACAGACTACAGAGTGTCTCATGAAACATGAATGTTGAGCGACGACTAGAACACTGTCTTTGATCTTTGAAACAATAATCTAAAAATGTTCCTAGTTCTAGTATTTCCAAAAAGTGGTCTGCTTTTTTGTGTTTTTTTATAATTGCCGAATTTAATGAATTTGAGCCGCGTCTCAAATCCGCCAAAAACCGGTTTCAATTGAGTGCCGGCTTAAATATTTAAACATTGAATACAATTTTAAGTGGAACAAACTTTATTTTAGCCCCGTCTCAAATTCAAGCCGCGGCTCAAATTCTTTAAATTTGGCCTCTGGAAATATTTCCCAATCCAAGTATTTCCAGAATGTGGTCTGCTCTTTTTGTGTTTTTATAATTACAGGAGATAAAAAGGATTTATTTCAGATAAATTTTTTTTTGGAATATTTTCATAAATCAAAGAATATCTTCCTGTCGTCTCTCAACTGTCATGTTTCGTGGGACGTGGAAATTAACGGAGATGTAATATGTTAAGAGGATACAGTCCTGGAGAAGAAGGATCAGAAGAAATCTATTCTAGTTGTGGATACAACTCCAGGTCTAGATCTCCAGGAGGTTCAGGAACCAGGTATAGATCTTCAGGAGGGTCAGGAAGCAGGGCAGGACGAGGAGGATCGGAGAACCCTCCTCACCTTGGATTCTAGCTCAGAAGGTTTGCATTTTATTCAAAAGAATTGTACATCCTCTCTCAATCTTTACAATTCATCTCTGTCATGAAAAAGATAGATGTATACAAAACAATGAAGACGACTTTCGATTTAAATTTATGATTTTTACAAAGCTTTCCAACAGCAGGGATACATATAAACATGGGGACAGAGAGAAGGCCCCCTTCTAGGTTCAATATTTCCTTGATTATACTGAATTATATAATTAAATGATTATAATTATAATTATTTTCAAACTACTCTGTGTATATTCATTCAATGTTCAGGGGCTCCGATTTCATTGAGTTTTGGAGCTTTAAAGCGAACAACTTCTTCAGCAACCGGTAAAGAATTAGGATTTTTCCACAAACTGAAATTTGAAATCCCTATATCTTTGCAACCCGATTGTGTACACCTTTCAAGCTAAGATTACACTAAAGATCTAATTCCTAGTTTAAAATATTAAAGGTCTAAGACATGGAGTTCCAAAGATTGGGATGAAAGACAAGTTTGACAAGTCTGTGTCAAAAACTCAATTCCATTGTGTTTTTTTCGATTATTATCAAAGATGCAAAGAAACTGATTACTCGCCTCGACCTTTTAATCCCTAAATTTTCGTAACCTGATAAAATTTGTGTAAAGATTCGATTTAGTTTTAACTTTGCCTCTTTCTTCAAGCAATCAAAGTTTGAAATATGTCTAAGATATTAAGCAAATAGAGTTTTATGAAGAAATCAGTTCATCAAAGGGGCTGTTCTAACTTCAATAAATCGTCTATTTTAAAAGAGCGTTGCCCGATTTACATCGGTATACACCTTAAATCTTTATTGGAATATTTCTAACTTGAAGAGTATTTGATGTTTATTATTTTTCTTCATTGTTTTATGAAACTATGGTGTACTTTATCATTATTACTCACTTCATCGTGAATTTCATAATGAACGTGCTAGAAAGTAATCATCGTTAATATTAGCTGTACATTATAGCAAGGCTATAAAGTTTTGATTGGTTCCCGGATTTTCTCAAAAAAATTTAGGATATTTCCAAAATATTTTTTTCAATTAAAATAAAAATATACTTGAAATCAGCTTTCTATCTTGACTTCTGCTTTGTTTCAGAGCTAATTAGATCTAGAAACAGCCATTGAAATAAGAAAAGTACACAAACGTTTCATAAAATTACCTATAACACTATTATTTTGGCACGACGTGCTAAAACATTTTTGGACTTAAATTTTCTCTATATCTCAAAGGTTCTGGCCTGTTCAGATTATATTGTGTCCCTTCGCTAAAGCTCGGGACAAAGTTAAATCTAAAAAGGCTTGAACCTTTTTTATTGGTTTCCGCAAACCATAAAATCAAGAATAAAGAAACATACAATTTCTCAACAATATTTTATTAATTACATATATGTAAAGACTGTTCTTATACTCCTACTGTCGAAAGTAATTAGTAGCAAAAACAGGAAAATAAACATTGAATCTCAACCCCAAAAAATATTTTAAAAGATTTTGTGAATTGCAAAAAAAAATTTTTATCGAACAATTGTTTATTTTCAGGGTTTAGGAGAACAAGCTTTTCCAGTGATCATAGAACTTATATTTCCTTTAGGTTCAGGAAACTTTTCTTTTATTAATTAATTCTTTTAGAATTGCATTGTTTGCTCTATACGCCCTTTATTCCGAGTATTTTGCAACAAATTGTAAACATTGAGTTTATTTGAAGTCATTTCCAGAAACATTTCTTTAATATATTTTATTCATAGAAACAATCCTTCACAACTCTACTCCCTTTATACAATTCCCCCCCAAGAAAGAGTTGAATGTCTGATTGACAACGGTTTCCTCTTCACCTCTCTGAGCAACTATGAGAACTATATTATCGTTTTCTAGTCACTTTTGTTCTCTAGTTTTAAGATAGAAAATCTAGAATATATTTGCACTTGTTACTCTAAAAGAGGTTTGAAGGGGTACCGTTGTGAATCGTGAATTCAGTTCAATTTAAATGGAGGTTCACTTGTTGACAGTTTCTGTAAAGAAAAGTTGATTAAAAGTTCTCCGGATCCTGACAGACCAATGAGTACTTTACCCCAGGATGTGTCCGACACCGATCTAGGAATATATTTGGTTCTCTTATACCTCTCCACACTCCCGACCCAACCTTTGATAAATTGTACAGACATGTTTCGCATTCCGCAATTTTTATTCCAGATCAAGAGATCCAGGAAACTACGAATATCTTTATTTCGCAACAATCTATACACAGTTATGGATATTATGAATCAACTGTCGAGATCGGGGCTTTGATGTCTCATGTGGTCTTTGCCCTTGGTTCGACTTGTCTGGTGTCCATTCTTATTTTGTTAGTCCTAGATATTACAATTTGTAAATTTGTTAAAACTTTTAAAGGAGTATTTGACAATATCCTGAACTATAATTCACAGTGGTAAATGATCAGTGTCCGAATTTAATGAAATAAAGCCGCGTCTCAAATCCACCAAAAACCAGTTTCAATTGAGCGCCGGCTTAGATCTTCAAAAATTGAATACAATTTTAAGTGGAACCAATCATATTAGAGCCGCGGCTTAAATTTGAGCCGCGGCTCAAATTCTTTTAATTCGGCCTCAGGTTTAAACTCTAAAAATGGTTATCAGCAGTATTATTAGTATTTTAAGGATTATTAAGCTTAAAATAGTGTTATGTATTACAAGATTTAAGTAAAAGTAACAAAGATGAGAAAAAGTCAATCTCATCTAAATAAGACGCTTAAGATAAGAACTTGTGATACAACTTTTATTCTACATCGTTAAAGGGACTGTAAGCGTAATTTTAAGTGACCCTCAATGCAAATATAACAATACCTGATACCCTTGATACAGTACCCTTGAAAGCTTTGTAGATCAAATGAAAAGTATGAATTATATACCCATCTTTTTATTCATTTAACCCAGGGGGGATGATAGTTCTCTACCTGTGTGCTCAGTTCGCTGAACTGGTCACTTACAACTGTTTACTAATATTGACTATAGGCAAAGAGAATAGAATATATATTAGACTGGAATTTACTAAATTACTAGAAAAAAGTGTAAAACGACCATTTTGTTGTACTGTTTTCATACTGCAGGTGTATTTCACATATTTGTGCTATATATAACCTTTTGGGCCCTGGAACATCATTTTATAGAAAATCGAAAATGAATAATAAAAGAAAACCAAATTATGAAATAGGCTGGTTTCATAATTGACCAATGATCATTTCACATAGACTCTATGCCTTTCACTTTACAAACGATGATTAAAAATAACTATAACTATAAATCAAATGATATTTTGTATTCACCTAATTCATTGTATAAAGTTTATTTAACAGCTTTAAAAAATTCGAAATTGAAATGGATAGTATAGGGAACATACTTTATTAATGTACTCTACTTCATATAATTTGTGAACATTTACATGATTTGTACACTTTGAACTCCCTTTCAGACTGAAAGGGACTGACAAAATTCATACCAAGGGATTGACTAAATTCCACTCTAATATATATTCTATTCTCTTTGACTATAGGTTAGGCCAGAATTAACTTATAAGAAACAAATATGCAGTTCATGCAGTACGCTCTCGATATAGTTCATGGTCTATACGCTTAGTAAAGGATTAGCGTACATCATCACTCTATACACTATAACCTCGTTGACTTAGCCCGTATATTCTTTATTGTGGCTTCTTTAAAAATTAACTTACGCATTTCCTGCTTGTAACAAATGATGGAGATGTTATCAGAATTTACACTTTTCAAGTCAGAGATACAAAGTTATCTTCTACATAATTGATAAGATTAAGATTTACGGGTTACAGTAGCGAAATTACGCTTACATATGTCCCGTTTAGTCTACTTGAAATACCTGAACAATCCCTTATATTGAAACCATATACTTGAAATACCTGAAGAATCCCTTATATTGAAACCATATACTTGAAATATCTGAATAATCCCTTATATTGAAACCATATACTTGAAATACCTGAAGAATCCCTTATATTGAAACCATATACTTGAAATACCTGAAGAATCCCTTATATTGAAACCATATACTTGAAATATCTGAACAATCCCTTATATTGAAACCATATACTTGAAATACCTGAAGAATCCCTTATATTGAAACCATATCTAGAATTAGAATACAGTTCAAGTATCACAGAGATGGCCGAGTCAAGGTAACCAATAATCAGCCAGACATATTAAAACCACGTTGATTAGATTGAACCAGTTCTCTTGTTTGAGCTAAAGACAAGTGGTTCAATTTAATCTTTGCGGTTCAGCTATTGTAATTTATGACGGTTTTACAATATGTACGATCTTTATGTTCCACTTCTTACTTGTTAAAAATGTAAAAAATTGAGTTTTTGTAAAATGATTATTTCTGTTTTTACAAAGCAAAGAGAGGAAATGGGTGGGGAAAATAAGGGGGTGGGAGCCTGCGACCTGGATCAAATATTAATTCGATTGTGCCTATAAACCTGATTAAACAAAATAACAGTAAAAAACTTTAGTGAGCCTTAACTTTCAATCCCATTTTCAATCTTTAATAATCCTAGTCTGCATTCCAGGAAACCGAAGAGAAGGACTTCTAATAGTTCTAGTGTCATGAGCAGGACGGGTCGGAGTAGAACAGGACGGAGTAGGACGGGTTCGATTCATACAGCCATATCTTCTCTCCAATCTGACTCAACATACGAGGCTTTAAAACTCCACAGGTTTGGTATATATTAAAGATTTGTAGTTACAAGATATTTAATGAAATGGTTATGGGGTATTTCAGGTTATCCATATATGTATATATAAAAAGTAGTAATCTTTGTTTTTTGTTTTTTAGTAATGATGCCCTACTCCAAAACTATTCTCTGATAACAGTTTAATCTCATATTTAATCGCTTTATCTCTATATATTAAGTAGTAATCTCTGTTTTCTGTTTTCTTGTTTGTTAGTAATGATGCCCTACTCCAAAACTATTCTCTGATAACAGTCTAATCTCAACTTTAATCGCTTTATCTATATATATAAAGTAGTAATCTCTGTTTTTTTGTTTGTTAGTAATGATGCCCTACTCCAAAACTATTCTCTGATAACAGTCTAATCTCAACTTTACTCGTTTTACCTATATATATATAAAGTAGTAATCTCTGTTTTCTTGTTTGTTAGTAATGATGCCCTACTCCAAAACTATTCTCTGATAACAGTCTAATCTCAACTTTAATCGCTTTATCTATATATATATAAATTAGTAATCTCTGTTTTCTGTTTTCTTGTTTGTTAGTAATGATGCCCTACTCCAAAACTATTCTCTGATAACAGTCTAATCTCAACTTTACTCGTTTTATCTATATATATAAATTATTAATCTCTGTTTTCTTGTTTGTTAGTAATGATTCATTCATATTCAGAGTATGTCCGTATCCGATATATTTAGGTCTAATAATGCAGGTAGAATATAAACTGACCTATAGTCAGATCATTAAAACGAATATATTAACATACGACCAATTACAAAGATATAGCAATATTATAGTGTATTTATAAAATGTTTGTATGGCCGATCATAACTCATGAATTCCTGGACCGATTTGCCTCAAAGGAAAAAATAACTAAAATCTTAATTTAAGACCAAGCGCGGGTAAACAGCAGGAGTAATTATGGGGTTGTATACAGTTCTTCCAGTTTCTTTTAATTCTTGCATTATAGTTAGTTAGTTCCAATACTTGTTTAGTTAAAATATTTACATAGTTAGTTAGTTCCAATACTTGAGTTAAAATATTTACATAGTTAGTTAGTTCCAATACTTGTTTAGTTAAAATATTTACATAGTTAGTTAGTTCCAATACTTGTTTAGTTAAAATATTTACATAGTTAGTTAGTTCCAATACTTGTTTAGTTAAAATAATTACATAGTTAGTTAGTTCCAATACTTGAGTTAAAATACTTACATAGTTAGTTAGTTCCAATACTTGTTTAATTAAAATACATACATAGTTAGTTAGTTCCAATACTTGAGTTAAAATACTTACATAGTTAGTTAGTTCCAATACTTGTTTAATTAGAATACATACATAGTTAGTTAGTTCCAATACTTGTTTAGTTAAAATACTTACATAGCAAGTAAGTTCCAATACTTGTTTAGTTAAAATACTTACATAGTTAGTTAGTTCCAATACTTGTTTAATTAAAATACTTACATAGTTAGTTAGTTCCAATACTTGTTTAATTAAAATACATACATAGTTAGTTAGTTCCAATACTTGTTTAATTAAAATACATACATAGTTAGTTAGTTCCAATACTTGTTTAGTTAAAATACTTACATAGTTAGTTAGTTCCAATACTTGTTTAATTAAAATACATACATAGTTAGTGTTTAATTAAAATACATACATAGTTAGTTAGTTCCAATACTTGTTTAGTTAAAATACTTACATAGCAAGTAAGTTCCAATACTTGTTTAGTTAAGATAATTACATAATTTGTAAGTTCTAATACTTGAGTTAAAATAAGTTAAATGAGTTATATTCAAGTTGTGATACCTTAAAAGGTTTGTTACGTTTACTTACTTTTCTTAAAGTTAAAATAAGTTAAATGGGTTGTATAATGTATATGGTAGTTCAAGTTTTGTGCTTTTATATTTTACATATTTTATTCTTCATTTCTTTTTGAATATTATGTATTACTAGCTGTAAAAAAGGGGAGAAAAAAATTTGTTTAAACATTTAAAAAAAAAAAATCAATTTTTGTTATCTTATGTCACCCTCAGGCTTCCTATGAGTGTCCACAAAAAAATTAAGCCCATTTGGTCCAGCTTTTTGGCCGAACAGAGGGAACATTTAACGGATTTCTTGTTTTATTATATAGATGAATATTATGAAATATCTTGATCATATACTGTATAGAACTTCTCTGTGGTTTTTAAGATTCTTTTTAAAAACTTAGAAGTCTCTTATTTCTACATTGAAGAGATTATATACTGTAAAATAAATATATAAGACCAGGCCTCTCTGATGACAGAAAATTATTCTTTATGAATTCTCTTTTGAAGAGGTTTTGAAGTGGTATTGTAATTATTTGCAACTGCTTTACAAGGAAGTTCAGGGAATTTTACTTTACCAAGGGTTCCCAAGATTAATTTTGACTACAAACACCCAGAGTGCAGCAAGGGATGTTTGTAGGCTAAATTGGTCGAGGGAACTCGTGATTAAGTATAATTTTTAATTTCGCGAAAAAGAAGTTGTACACAATTTTATCGTCTTTTAGTCTTTTAAGATGCAAATGTGCGAATTTGTTCACGAAAACTTCTCAGAGCGGGTCCTTATTTTACTTTATTGTCCCAAGGGACGTTAAGTAACTCAATGTCTCTCTGTTGGGGGAATCAGAGGTCGGTAATGTTGGTCAAAAGACGGTAAAAATACATAAAGTACCAGTTTGTAACTTCTTCTTACAGATAAAAATCTACATATATTCTGCATTGTAAACATTACAGAGGTGTTGATATACAAATACCAAATTTCGGCAACTTCCTAAACATAAACTCAGAGTTATTTACGTTTTCTATATTGTAGAGAGGTATTGGGTAAGGTGAAATACCAGATTTGGCCTCTTGACAGGAAACTAAGAGTTCTTCAACAGGCGAAACTATTTCTAAAGTAAGATAAGCAGAGTGATGCGGGCTCAAAATAGAAAGAAAAGTTTGTGTAATCTTTAATTTTTTTATTTACATGAAAAAGCTTCCGTTTTTAAGATTGCAATTGATAAAATGAATTCTTTAGCATATTTTTAAAAAAATGTGGATATTCTGAATAAACTATTTTTTTAAAGTTTGCGTTCATATTTGTTATGCTATTTAAAGCCAATTCCTAACAAGCCGATTTATCATACAAAACTATCAAAACATAATTACCGTAAAGGGAGTGTTCGCGAAAAATGAAAGAGGGTATAGGTTTAATGCGATAAAAAAGCGCTTTTGATCGCCACTAACCTTACTTCTATCTGTTGCGTCTATAATGAGAAAATTGTTAAAGACGTCTCATACCGAATAACTTAGCGGCCATACAAATTGAGAAAATTGCAACATACTACTTGGACCGTAAAAAATTAATTTAATTTCAAACAAATCATTTAGATATTACTACCTATAGTCATCGATTATCTTTCGCCACATTTGTATATAGTTTATATTTTATAATATTTTTTAATTCATTTGTTTGTTTCTCTTGTCACTTGCGCAACTATCTAAGAATGCCGCACACCACTCACAATTTTCGAAATCCGTTGAAAACATTTTCTAAAAAGATAAAATATTATTAAATATAAACTATATACAAATGTGGCGAAAGATAATCGATGACTAAAGGTTGTATTATCTAAATGATTTGTTTGAAATGAAATTGATTTTTTACGGTCCAAGTATTATGTTGCAATTTTCTCAATTTGTATGGCCGCTAAGTTATTCGGTATGAGACGTCTTTAACAATTTTCTCCTTATAGACACAACAGATAGAAGTAAGAATAGTAGCGATCAAAAGCGCTTTTTTATCGCATTAAGCCTATACCCCCTTTCTTTTTTCGCGAACACTCCCTTTAAGTCCTAGTTTACAAGAAGTTCAGTACAACACTAAAATGTAAACCATAGTTTGTAATGGTAGATATTTTAGAACTGCTAGATATAAAGACCAAACAAATGCTTATTAATTTTTAATTGGCGTATTAAAAAAGCGTCTTTTAATTTAATCTCTTTGGATTTATTCAAGTGAAAGATTCAATAATTCCGGAAACTGCTCTTCCATTAAACTTGTGGACACTGTACTTAAAAACTGCAGAAAGTCTATTGAGCGGAAAGTGCATAAAGCAAGTTTTTGCAAGAGTAAATGTTCAAAAGAAAAAAGAATTTGTGAACAAAGTAAAAATTGGCCGGACACTTTCAATCCTCTCGGTTCTTTGAGAAAAGATGAAACAAAAATAAAACTTGATTTTAAGCTTTTTCACAAAGTTTGAAATCCCAAGAATTTTACAGAGAAACGAAATTTAAGATATCTCTAAATAATATTTTAAAGAATTTTTTTATTTCTTGGCTTTTGTTCATAAAACAGTTTATTTTACTTGATTAGTTCAGGAGACAGTTTACATTTATTCTTGCTTTGTTCAGGAGACAGTTTATTTTACTTGATTTGTTCATGATATAGTTTATTTTACTTGATTTGTTCAGAAGACAGTTTATTTTACTTCTTGATTTGTTCAGGAGACAGTTTATTTTACTTGATTTGTTCAGGAGACAGTTTACTTTACTTGATTTGTTCCGGAGACAGTTTACTCTCAATCTTGATTTGTTCAAACGACAGTTTAAGCTAATTCTTTATATGTTCAGGATACAGTTTACTCTTATTTTTGATTTGTTCAGGAGACAGTTTACTTTTATTCTTGCTTACTCGCAATTTTGCTTTGTTCAGAATCAGGATCAAATTTCTTCTTAATCTTGATTTGTTTAGAAAACACCAAACAGAAGTAGAATCCTTACTAAGACAGGAAAAATCTTTTGCGAGGTATCTAATTATAGTAATACTAGGCTTTTCGGGCGCTTCGCACCCATCTTCTGTTTTAATTGTGAACATTTGAACATTGTGAACGTTCCCTTTGTTTACATTGTAAAACAAAAACAAACAAAAAATTTTCGCGGATTAAAAAAAAATTTTAATCGAATTTGGTTTGAAGCAAATTTTTGAAAATTTGAACATTCACGCGAGGTCCCACAAAAATATTGGTCCGGATCGGTTCAGCCGTTTTGACGTTTACTGGATACAAACTAACAAACAAACAGACAGACACCCAAGCAATTATATATAGATAAACTATACAAGGTTAAACATAAAGAATGAGATTTCAGTGACGACTACACAGAATTTATCCAGCCTTCCTTCATTCGTTTTGCTTGGCTCTTGATTCTTTTTTTGCCAAATCATATAATATTCCATTAAAAGACTGTATATGAAACAGAAACCTTTCTTTAATCTTAAAACATCATTAAAGTCTCATCTTTTGTGTCCAAACCTGTATCTATCTATTCATCTGATAAAAAGTAGTATTTCTTCCTAATTCTGACATAATTTAATTTTCTGAATACTTGTATTCCAAAGAAACATGGAATACATTCATATGATATTTTCTGTTAAGTGTTAATATAGAATATTAATATAAAACAGTGAGAACCAGAAAACTCTGGAATTGGAAGACGACTTTTACACTCAAGTTATGACTAACAGTCTAATGAAAATGAAACACACCAATTTTGCAGTGTAAACAGTCTAACAGACCTATTTCACTTAACATTTTTATCTTCTAGCTTCTGGTACTAACTTAAAGAAAATAACAGATTGGATAAGCGTCGTCTTCGCACCTCTGCCCCTGTAGTAAAAGTAAATTCAACATAAATGAAGCATAAAGTCTGACCGCGTCAACCTTGTTGCGCCGGCTTATAGTCCTACTGAGTGTTTGCTTTATTTACCCAATGTACAGGCGATACAGTACAAACTGGAACCTGAAAGGTTGACCCGGCTCGGAAATTCAAATGTACTACGGCTGCCCGTCGTCCTCATACAAACAATTTTATATCTCTAACTGTAAATGTATTCTTCTAGTTACATAGAGCAGGGTAGATTATGGCTGGTTTCAAGCACAGGACAGCTACTTAGGTAGGTCAATAGAAATATATTCATCTAATATTAGAAAATATTACTCTGAGAAATATATTCATCTAATATTAGAAAATATTACTCTGAGATATATATTCATCTAATTTTAGAAAATATTACTCTGAGAAATATATTCATCTAATTTTAGAAAATATTGCTCTGAGAAATATATTCAACTAATTATAAAAGATATTACCAAAGAAATATATTCAACCAATTTATGAAATATTACTGGAAAAAATATATTAAATTAATTTTATAAAGTATTACTCAAAGAAATAGATTCAACTAATTTTAGAAAATATTACTCTGAGAAATATTTTCATCTAATTTTAGAAATATTTGTATCTTCTTTTGTAAATGAAACATCTCTCAGATTTTTCAATTTGAAACTAACATATTTCAATTGAAAATCAAAAAACCCTAAGAGACATTTCTAGATTTAAAGAAAGATTGAAGATGGCATAGTAAACAGTTTTTGTGTTGTATTCCGGATTGTTTGGTATATGAGTGAACAGTCCCTTGAATCCAACAGGAAGCCAGATGAGTCAGTACATCCCGGACCGCTGCAGC